CAGGGGGTGATTATTTATGCCCTTCTCCATTCTCCCTCGGGATTTTAGTCATGCACGCACACATGCCCCGCATGAGTTTTTAAGCCACCAGGTCCGGTACTCGAACTGCGGTTGACTACATGGGAGGCCAGCAACGTAACCACTGTGCTATCTGCTGGTGCCAGAACCAAGCAACTCTAAGGCTTCTTGTGTTTATGTTTCCAGTCACAAGATACACAATCTCACTTCAAAGGTAAGGTTAGAGGAAAGCCTTACTTATTAAAAAAAATTCATGGAACTTTACTATATGGAAATATGAACTAAATCTTTCTTCCTACCAAATACACTTCAAAGAGCAAACAGGTGAGGAGTCAAGAAATTCCATAATCACTCTAGGTTTAGGTATATAATATTTATTCTTTCATATTGTTCTCTTTTAGAGGTGTAACCTTCTAATTAATGCCTAAGTTTCCCACAGACATTCAGTCTTCCATTTACTGATATTTACAGTATCAAGGCCCAAAGAAATACTTGGTCTAAATTGGAGGATCCCACCCTTTTTTTTTTTTTTTTTTAACCCGGCAGGGGCTGGGATAAAAAGGGAGGGAGAGAAAGAGAGGAATCACCCCCTGGGGGAATGGCCATGGTGAAATTCTTCTCTATTCTCTTGGGATTATGGGCATATGCACACACACACACACACACACACACACACACACACGCCTGGTGTGATTTTCAAGCTGCCAGGTCAGGAATTCAAACCATAGTCACCCATGTGGGAGTCCAGTGCTGTAATCACCATGCCAACCGCTGGTCCCACTCACACACTAACCCCCCCAAAAGAATTATTTATTTAATTCACCTGTTATTTTTTAAATGTGACCAGACAGAGAAAGGAAAAGAAAGCAAGCCACCAGGCCCGGGACTTGAACCATTGTCAGCCATGTGGGAAGCCAGTGTCTTTAACTTCCATGCCACCTGACGGTCCCCCACCCACGTGACTTTTAAAAAGAATTCATCACCCTTTGAAATTGCAGTATCTTTTGTTGGCAAAAAAATTATTTTCCAAGAGACACCCGTTTTTCCTCCCTCCTCCTCCTCCCTCCCAGCTGTACACAGGTTAGTATGTCACGCAGCTGAGGCCCACTCCTATGCAAGCAGAGCCCGCGTGTCTACATAACGAACGAGACGTGACTTCGCGCCTCCTGACCTGGCGACCGTGGGAATGGGGACGCCTCGTTCCCGCCTCTGAAATAACTAGGACTTGACCCAGTTATATTAAGAGGCCAGACAAAAAAGAAAGCACTTTACACTGTTTCCTTAGTATTGCTTTGCTGCAAAGGGATAAATAGTTCAAGAACCAAAGATGGGAAATGTCTGCTGGCCATCACTGTATCCTTGCAAAAACTAGCAAGTGAGGGACCAGCAGTTAGCGTAATGGCTATGTAGCCGGACTCCCATGTAGTCGACTGCGGTTTGAGTCCCGGACCCGGCGGCTTAAACTCTCGCTGGGCACATGTGCGTGCGTGCCCAAGATCCCGGGAGGAGAATGGAGGAGAAGGGATTGCGGCGTGGCCATCCCCCCTGGGGGGTGATTTCTCGCTTTCTGTCTGTCTCTGGCTGGCTGGCTGGCGAGCGCAAGCCCCTATAGCAAAAAACTTCTCCAAATAAATAAATAAAAATAAAAATAATAAGCTAGCAAGTGAGATGTTCAGGAATCACTTCTACTTCACACTTCACACTGTTCTCAGCAGTGATGACAGGCTGGTCGCACCACTGACCACCTTTGTTCTGTAGGTAGAGTAATGGATGTGTCAGAAACGGCTTTGGCACGGGTTAAAAGTGGCTCCCACATGCTCGCTACTTTTCCACAGGATTCTCAGTATCGTACCCAAGTTTACCTTCACCTGGTTACCACTTCAAGTTGCCACTAATGTGACTGACCGGGGATAGAGGAGGGGTTGAACCTGAGCACACACACGATTTTTAAACATTTTAGATGTAATGCAACTAACCATACCTAATATTCTTTCAGAAAACTCAAGAAACACAAAACACTCAAAAGTCAAGTTATACTTTTCATAAAGCACCCCCCAGGGGGGGTGATTTCTCGCTTTCTGTCTGTCTCTGGCTGGCTGGCTGGCGAGCGCAAGCCCCTATAGCAAAAAACTTCTCCAAATAAATAAATAAAAATAAAAATAATAAGCTAGCAAGTGAGATGTTCAGGAATCACTTCTACTTCACACTTCACACTGTTCTCAGCAGTGATGACAGGCTGGTCGCACCACTGACCACCTTTGTTCTGTAGGTAGAGTAATGGATGTGTCAGAAACGGCTTTGGCACGGGTTAAAAGTGGCTCCCACATGCTCGCTACTTTTCCACAGGATTCTCAGTATCGTACCCAAGTTTACCTTCACCTGGTTACCACTTCAAGTTGCCACTAATGTGACTGACCGGGGATAGAGGAGGGGTTGAACCTGAGCACACACACGATTTTTAAACATTTTAGATGTAATGCAACTAACCATACCTAATATTCTTTCAGAAAACTCAAGAAACACAAAACACTCAAAAGTCAAGTTATACTTTTCATAAAGCACCACTGACAACCCTGGTAAATTATAAATAAATATGTAAATGAATAATCCACGGGGGGTCTTGAGGTTTACAAAAGACACTCTTATGTAGACAGGAGTACTGCAGAGCCCGTCTGCCCTTCCCCAATCACGCCATCTGTGGCAGTGGTGACCGTGTGACCCCAGGCCAAGAGAAGACTGCAGTTCCAAGAATACACTGCCAATCACTCTTTTCCTCTTGAGCTGTAAACACCACTGGCCACTTCCACATAATAATGGTAAGTTGTATTTTTTTTTTTTTTTTTACAGAAGGGATTTCTAAAGGAATCATGTTTAAGAGCCTACTGAAAAAGCCACTTTCTACACACATATGAAGCCAATTCCCGCATGAACCTTTATTGAACCTGGTTATATGTGTGACTTTAATAGCTCAAATTTTTTTTACAATTTACAATTTTCAAAATCTACGTCAAATGGTCATTTTTGCCTTTAGAGAGTGAATCATTCCAGATGGAAAGAGAGGCTTTCTCAATTTTTCCTTTCACCCTCCTACTTGAAGTGCTGGCTGGTTTTCACAGAGGTGTACTACGGAACTAGAATACCGACAAGCAGGGAGCTTCCTTACGTGCACTGAACTGAATCTGGAATCTGAAAAGGATGAAAACCATGTGAACTGGCATTTCCCGGACGCCCGCTGGAGGCAGAAGTAGAGAGCAGAAGTGAAGCACAGGCAGAAGGGAGCTGATCTCAAAGGGCTGTCGACCTCTGCCACGGTCCTGACTCCAGAAGGCGGTTGGCACTCAGAGTTAACGTTCACTGTTCCGAAGTGACACTCTGATGTGCAGTCCTTGAGGTGCAATCTGCACCACGCAAGCAAAGCTGGCCTGCAGCAGCTCAGGGAGGGAGCCCAGCAAACACATTCCTCCCAGCACCGCCGAAAGTGAAACGAACATCTGTGGGAGGAAAACGTCTCTTCCTCTCCTTCCAACTAGAAAGCAAACCGCTAATGATACATTTGCACTTCTAAATGTGAAGATCTGCACAGTTCTAATGACTTACCATAACTTTAAAGAATAGGAAGGACCTACAGTTTTTTTTTCATTTTTCTTTTCATAAACTTTGCCAAAATAATTTATAAAGAAAGCAATGAGGAATACCTTTGAAAAATTAAACACATAAGTTAAAATACTAAAGTAATTAAAACTTTGAGGATATAAGAAGAATGGAGAAACATTTTAAACCAAATTTTAATATAAAATGTTACAATACAGAAGAATGGAATAAATTGAAAATAAGTAATTTCTTCTAAGTGAAAATAATGCTTTATATTAGAACACCAACATCTCATTAAATACATTAATCTTATTTCACTAATTCCCACACTGCAGATTTATCTATGTTAAATTTGGGGGTAGGAGGGTACTAATGGCTCTCTTCTGTTCTTCTTGGCCTTAGTCTAAATCTTGGATCAAGTCAGACTCAATGCTCTGACTTTCAAATAAACACAGAAAACCCCACAGTACCAATTAAATGGTGTATTTGAGCTTTCAAATGTCAGAAGACGAGCAGAAGCTGCTCATGGCTCGAGATGACCGTGTTTTCTCAGGTCTCCAACAGGCAGGTAACGTATCAGGTCTATAAGTTACTTCTCACTCACACCTACCCGCCATACTTCCAGAAGCGGAGCACCCTAACAGCCACCTTTCCCTGTATCCTCAGGACTCTCCACTGATGGTGGGCAGTCAGGGTGGTTAGGAAGGGAACTAAAATTTTAAAATGTATTCCAGGCATCCATCTCTTAAAATTATACTCAATTTTTACCCCACACGCATTTGAAGACTTTTACAAAGACCAAAAAGGCAAAAAATATTGTGCTTTCTGTCAATTGGAAGCAATTCTTATGTGATGTGATAATCTTTACACAGTTTGGCAAAATGAAAACTTCTGAAATTAGTTGATTAGTTACCTTGCAATACCCACTGAAATCTCAAGACACATACACAGCAACACCTACAAACCTCTGAACAGATTCAAAGCTCTCAAAATGTTATACAGTATCAGGAGAATGACTAAAAAGTCGAAGTATGAACCATAGAGAAAGCATTTACAGGAACCGTATCTTGTAAGAAAGCTTTTTCTTTTTTTTCTTTTTTAAGTAAGATGCCATTTGAGTTAATTCTCATACCCACTCAAACTGTAACTGGACAGTACATTTTACTTCTAGTTACTAGAAGACATTTCTTTAAGAGACAGGGGGCAAAAAGGGAAGAGACTACAAAGCTGTTTGTCAACCCCCACCCCCTTTTAAAAGGAAAATTGATGAATTTAGATCAAACCACAGATTTTTAAACAAAACAAAAAAAAAAATGGGGGGGGGAATACAAGACAGTGAAGACAAATCACTATTTGTAGGGGTTTTTGTTGTGTCCTTAAAAAAAATAGTCCCCTTCTAATAAGTTACATACAGACCACCTGTCACCTTAACGAGACCGAAGCACACACGAGGAAGAGGACACGGCACCGTAGCTCACACATTCACATACAGAAGACACGGGCCAGCACGGACTGGAGTAAGACCCAGCCCCAACAGACAGGGAGGAGTCCCGAAACACCAGAGAAATATAATCATCTATTTGAACAACTGTGAAATGGAAGATCTGCTCAAGCTAGGATGGAGAAAGGAGTGCTAACTCCTTGTACTACAAGGAAGGAATGGGGTTTATCAAGAGGCAAAAAAAAAAAAACAAGAAGAAGAAAGCCCCCAGATGGATTTTTTGATGCCGAAATTCTGTCATATGCTGCTGGTAACAGTAAATATAGATATATATTTATATTCATATATGTATATTAAAAAAGGAAAAATAATCTATTCATAGAACAGTCAGTAGTCAGAGACATTTAGAAAAAAGTAAAAACAAGTCCTTTTTTTTTTTCTTTTTAAAAATGGATTTACTAAAACCACTTCAACCACCCAGAGGTACTACAAACCCACGCCCTCCGATGAAGTCATGGTGTTCTTCAACGGCATCTGCCACGTGCCGTGCTCAGAAACGGCCCGTGCTGGCAACAGCAGGCTCGGGGTCGGGCGGCAAGGAAAGCTGTTGCGTTGGTCTTGCTCACGGCACGCCTGAAGCCTGGTGGCGTCTGGAGTACTTGTGAATGAAGCTGTCCCCAAAAGGCATGCGTCACGGGCCCAGGGAGGCACTGGGACTGCTCTATTGTTTCTTCTTTTTCTCTTTCTTTTTGCAGAAGCCTGGATCCACGTACTGCTCTCCTCTAAGATGCAGACCCAAGACAGTGAGTTCCCGAAGCCTAAAAAGGCTCCCTGCCTTGAAATAAGAGTCTTCTTCCCAGAATCTCATCTAGTCAGATTTCTGAACTAGATGAGCCAGAGACATTTAGGAAGCGAAGGTGACCTGCCTCAGGTGGTGAGGGAGTCTCTTACTCGGGGTTTTCTTCTCGGTACAGACAAGCACTACTGGCAGGGTTCTTGGCCTGTGCTGCCATCTCCTAACCTTTAACGGGAACAGCTTTGGCCGTTTCTCCTCGCTCTACCTGCAGGGCACAGTGGAAGAAAGGGGGTACTGACTCTTCTCCAGCTCTCTCTCCTCCTAAGGAGAGCCAAGTACTCAGCACCTTGGGATGGTGCTGCCCTAGATCATAGGCCTCTAAGACCCACTGGCCCTGCGTGCTCTGTGCCCTGCTAGCACACCAACGTATCACTATCAAGCAGCCACCGTGGAGCTCAACCAAGCGCCTGGCCTCAAGGCAGGAAGCCATCGTCGAAGGAGACGAGCTGCAGTACTGGCTGCTGTGGCAAAGAAGACAGCCTCTGCACGATGTGCGGGAGAGGGCGCAGCCCACACCGTCCATGCGAGAGGTCAGCACTCGCTCTGAAGGCCGCTCATCTTTGGAAGCAACATTTCTAGTGGGCTTAACCACTCTTCTGGATGACTAAGGTCTCAAAGCGGTCCATCTCTCCCATGTCCCACACTAGCCAAGCATCTGCTAACTGGCCTCTTTAAGATCCTCCATTGGCAGTTTGTAGCCCATTATGAAGGAAGGAGGTGGCACGTGACCTGGGCTGTCTGGCCCCTGCTTCTTTGCACAGTTTATACAGATGTAATCTTCATTTTCAGCCATTTCTGGGGATACGCCCACACAGACTTGATGAAACCACTCATCACAGCCGCCGTCACACTGTACCCAGTCTACCTGTGGGGACAAGACCGGGGATGTCAGGGTCACATACATTATTAAGCTTAGAATAAAAGCAAACCAAACAGCTTTCTTGGCTTATATGATAGCAAATTGGGATGTCCACAGACAGACAGTGACTTCTTATGGGGTTATTTTTTAAAGAAAGAAGCTGAGAAGTTAATACCCCCAAATTATATTTTACCACAGTATGTCCACAAACTAGGCCTCATAGGTACTCCATTACCTCATGAATACCTGGGGCGCCTTCTGAGGCAGAAACATGTTTCAGAAAAACTTGACAAAAAAAAAGAGAAGAAACTTGACAAAAAAGGAACTTCTAATAGAGCAGCCAAGTAGTTTTAGCTCATATTAAAAATTTCTAGGCTCTAAGACAATGCAATTATCAATCGAGAAAGGGAGAGTAAACAATGTGAAGGCAATCCTGTGTATTAGCTTTATTTCAAAGAGATAAGCCAAAGTACTAAGAGCATTAAATACCTTTTTAGAAAAGCAGTCACATAGGCCACTTTTAAAACTAATATTTTTTATTCTTCTCTTCTTCCGTTACAAATACAACTCCCTATAAAAAGTTAGCAAATATCAGAGGTCAAATCTTACAAATTAACCAATTAAAACAGTCAAAGACACAGGTGAATAGATCATGCTGGGGTTTAAAATTAAAGTCTGGCAGACGGAGAGGTCAGCGGCAGATGCCAGGCAAACTCTGACCCTCAGAGAACTCCGTGACTATGGAAGGGACTGCAGTTTGGTGACTTTAAGCCTTGGAACTAGTTCAAATAAAGTGACTTCTGGCTTTTGTTTGGATGACTGAAGTAACTCTGAGAGCTGGCATGGCAGGTGAGAACCTTTAAGAGGAGAACCACTAGCCCTCTCCCCAGTACAAAGACTGCTGACTGCCCTGGCGACACAGGAAGCCGCCCCAAACCACAGGCTTCCCCGGATCCGGAGAGCAAAGCTGGGAGTACGAAGGTATCAAAGAAGAGCCTCAGTACAGCTTACGGACGGGGAAGGGGCAGGGAAAGGCGGCGGTTAGGTGAGGGAGTTTCACTCAGGGAAAGTGAGCAGTCTCAAAAGGCTTCCATGTCCTATGGAAATCATCAAAACCGTGACAGTCATGTCAGGAGCCTGAGGTTTATACTAAGGGGCGAGAACAACCATTTAAAGCAATAATCTTTTTTCTTTAGTTATTTCTACTCCAGAGTTCTAGATCTTGGGGAATAAACGCCGTTTAGTGTAAAGATTACTAATCAATTCTGGCAAGTGGGTTACCCTCATCAAGGCTCAATCTCCTCATCTGTAGAATGGAGGTGCCATCTAATTAGGTTATGTGGAGGATCCAATGAAATAACGCATGGCAAAGGACCAAGTTTAATGCCTGGGATACGAGCTAGAGGCCCCTGCTAAGATCACAGTCTGACTCTCTATTCATTATCTTAACTTCATACAAAAATCTTGCACCATCATGTCACTATTGGGTTTTGGAAAAGTCATGACACATTTTAACATAGAAAAAAAGACATCATGACTTTTCCAAAAACCCAATATATGTAGCACTGCTTCTCAAGAGGTGTAGACCACCTGCATTGGAATCACCTGTTACGTGTGTTAAAAATGCAGCTGGGCGGGGGTGGGGTGGGGGGATGGGATGACCAGCAGTTAACGCAATGGCTATGCTGCTGGACTCCCAAGGAGTCAGCTGCGGTTCGAGTCCCGGACCCACGCGTGTGCATGCATGCCCAAGATTGTGAGAGGAGAATGGAGGAGAAGGAATTGCGGTGTGGCCATCCCCCCTGGGTGGTGATCTCTCACTTTCTGTCTCTGTCTTTCTGGTGAGTGCATGTGCCCTATAGCAAAAACCTCTCCCCCCACCCAAAAAAATGCAGCTGGGGACTGACCCCATAGCACAGAGGTTAAATGCTATGCACAGAAAGCTGGATCGCGCATGGCCAACCATGGTATGAACCCTGGTTCTGGCAGCTTGAAAAACTTGCCAGGCAGGTGTATGCCCCACCCAAAACCTTGATGGGCTAGAGAAACGGAGGAAAAAGAACTGCAGTAGGACCGCACCCCACGGGGTACAGCAGGGTACGGGCGCTTTCTCTCTCTGGGACATGCATGCACCCCTAGCAAAGAAAAGAACTGCAGCTGGATCCACCTCAAACCTACAAATTCAGGATAGGCTATCTAGGGGTGGGGGCAGGAAGAATATGAACCAGAAGCCTACATTTTTTAATCCACTTCCAAGGAATCATTATATATGCTAAATTTGGTTGTTGCTGGACCTTTCTGATATTGTTTCCTGTCAGTTTAGAGAAACTGCAGCGATTCCTTCCTAAATGAAATTCCATTTTTTTTTTTCTTTTTGGAGCGGTTTTCGCTATAGGGCACGAGCGCTCGCCAGACAGACAGAGACAGACAGAGAGAGAGAAAGAGAGAAATCACCCCCCAGGGGGGATGGTCACGCCACAATCCCTTCTCCTCCATTCTCCTCTCGGGATCTTGGGCACGCACGCACACGCGCCTGGCGTGAGTTTTAAGCCACTGGGTCCGGGACGTGAATTGCAGTCGACCACCACGTGGGAGTCCAGCGACATAGCCATTACGCTAACTGCTGGTCCCTGAAATTCCATTTTTGTTCTGAAACTTTATAATACTAGCTTCTGACACCTGTGCAGTAAAGAAAATAACTGATCAAAAGATCTCATTGCAGCAAATAATCAGAGACAGAAAAGGGAGAAAAGGACTTCCACACACCAAAGTAAAGGGTGCGGCCTGCAGGTGGCGAGCACCATGCGCCAACGGGGTAAGCAGGCGGGCACGGGCGAGGGGCGCTGTCCAGTGCTGGCAAATGGGACTGGGAAGTGAGCTACGTTTCTTTGGGTGGCCTGGGTTTGAGAAATTTTGTTTATAATTTCACCCGTGAACCAACAGACACCTTTGCCCTGACCTCCAAAACCCCTAATCCTGTCCAGTCCCCATTCATGTGACTACAGAGGGTGAGAAAGTACCCAGTGTACTTTGGCAAATTTACCCCCGCATCTGCTACCAGGGAAAGTATCCCTAATCTTTTAAAATATATTTTTAAAATTATATTCACCAGGTTATTGTTTCTGAAAATTCAATATATCATTCTGTTTCAAATAAGATATTTTGCTGAATTATCTGTTATCTATATTACTATTACTTTTAGAAACAAGGTCTTGTGAGATGGCCGGGGCCGCCCCAAACTCGTGGCCCTCCTGTGCTAGCCTTCTCAGCAGTGAGATGGCAGGCACTCGCCACCATGCCCACTCCCCTGGGATTTTAACTCAAGGTAGATTCCTGCGCATAGCTGTCCTAGCATTTCCAAAGACTGTGCCGTTCCTTGAGGTACTCCCAGGCACACAGTCTACCCTTACAGTATGGAATGGTCCGCACTAATATGGAGAAACACGCTTCCCTGACCCACTCACAATCGAACTGGACTTCTTTTTGTTTGAGAAGGCTCATAAAGCCAAGTCTGAGATGCCAGATGAGTCCATGGCCTATTTTTTTCTTTCTTTCTTTTTAAAGATTTTTGCCATAGACTGTGTGTGCTCGTTGGAGAGAGAGACCGTGAGAGGGAAAGTGAGAAATCACCTCCGGGGGGAGGTGGGGGTGGGGAGGGGGATGGCCACACTGCAGTCCCTTCTCTTCCATTCTCCTCTTGGGATTCTGGGCACATATGCATATGCACCAGCCAGAGTTTCAAGACATCAGGTCCAGGACTTGAACTGTGGCCAGCCATGTGAGAATCCAGAACTTAACCACTGGCCCCTTATGGCAGACTTTTTTTAAAAGAATTATTTAATTTGACTTTATTTAATATGACCAGAGAGGGAGAGTGAGAGAGAGAGGGAAAGTGAGAAAGCAAACAGCCAGGTCCGGGACTCAAACTATTGTCAGCCATGTGGGAGTCCAGCACCCTCACCCACCACACCACCTGCTAGCCCCCCATGGCAAATTTTTGACACAGGTATAACAGACTCTGTTTAGCCTGAAAACGTATTAATAAAAACACAGAATTTGGCTAACCTGTATATAAGTTCTAACAGTCATTTCCTCTTTTATTATTTCTGGGATATGTACTTACTGAATCACAAATATCATTATTAAAACACTTCACAGGTCCAGACACAGTGGTGGAAACAGCTCTGGGCCGCTGCAAGGTGGCGAGGCCACACGGGGGCCCAGGCTCAGCTCCAGTCCAACCTAAACAGGCGGAGCACAATGGCTCACCCATGGCCCATGCTGACTGGGAGGCAGGGCCAGGAGGGTCCCAATGTGGCGAAGCCCTGTCAACGACACCCACCGTTCTCCTCTCATAAAACACCTATAACCAAGAATCCTTCACGGCTATAATCTCAGATATTAACTGAGAAGCAATTTTACATTACCATACAAATAGGTTACTATATTCAGATCTGGGGGAAACTGACCATCAGGGCCGGCTGTGTAGTGCAGTGGTTAAGTGTGGAGGTAGCCAGATCCCACATGGTCAACTGCGGTTCACATCCCAGCCCCAGAGGCTTCGAAAACATGCTGGGAACATGAGCATGTGTCCAGGACCTTGACAGGAAGAAAGGGGATTGCAGCATGACGGGCTCCCTACCTTGGGAGACCCTCTCTCCCCAGCACATGCATGTGCCCTAAAAAAAGTGAAACGTAATAGAGGAAATGATGTTAGTCTGACATTCATGATTACATATTTACACTCAAGGAAAAAATTCTGGTATATTGAACACACACACACACACACACACACACTTTTTTAAAAAAAAGAGATTTTTGCCATAGGGTGCGTGCATTCTCCAGAGAGACAGAAAGCAAGAAATCCCCCCCTAGGGGGACGGCCACACCGCAATCCCTTCTCCATTCTAGTCTCTGAATTTTGGGCACGCACGCACGCACGCACGCACGCACATGCACCTGGCATAAGTTCCAAGCTACTGGGTCGACTTGAACCACGGTTGACTACACCGGAGTCCAGTGAAGTAACCATTACACCATCTGCTGGTCCCAGCATGTTATATTTTATTCAATTCTTACAGTATATTACTTCACTGGTAAAAAAAAGAAAAACTGGGAATTTAAGGATGTTATTAGCTTGGGATATTCTTACTCAAGTGAGCTTCTTTTAACTTATAATCTCTTTGGCACCAAGGTTCCTTGCAAAGGCCAGATTTGAAACATGGAAACAAACTCATTTAGTGATGAAGTACAACTTATATTCAGACTCCTGTATGATTTCTGGTGCCCTCGACATTAAGTGAGCAACCCTCCCAGTCTGCCGAGAAATGAAAAGAGCTGCCCATTACGTGGTCATGTCTCAGTGCTAAACTGGGAGGGCTCAAGCATACAAGATGGTTGGTTCTCCTATCTCGAAGATCACCATTTTATGAGTGTGCTGCATTTAGGTAAGCCAATCTTTGGTTATCTGTGCTAAAAAGAGACGTGCACTGGTAAAGTCACAGGTAATGCAAATACTTTGGTAGAGGAAACACCACCATGAAAGTCTCTGAAAATCAGTAACAGCAGGAAGCATACACTTTAAAACTTCATCCCTTAATTTACCATGCCAAACTTTTTCTAGAGTAGGAACAGGTAAAGAAAAGGCCCTCTATGTAAGAGGGTAAAAACATTAAAGAGGAAAAAAAGGTCTAAATGATTAAGTACTTATTCAAATGTCAAAAAAAGGTTACTTAAATATTTGCCTGAAGGAATTTGTTCTTTCAAATAAACTTGTTTTATTCCTGGTACCAATAAGACTGAATAAAGAGGCAGAGTTCAGGGAGAAGATTCTGAACTTTAAGACTAATTTTTTTTTTTTTTTGAGAGGTTTTTCACTATAGGGCGCGTGCGCTCGCCAGACAGAGAGAGAGAGAGAGAGAGAGACAGAAAGCGAGAAATCACCCCCCAGAGGGGATGGCCATGCCAAAATCCCTTCTACTCCCTTCTCCTCTCGGGATCTTGGGCACACACGCACACGCGCCCGGCGTGGGTTTTAAGCCACCGGGTCCGGGACACGAACCATGGTCGACTACGTGGGAGTCCAGCGACATAGCCATTACACTAACTGCTGGGTCCCTTTAAGAATAATTTTTGAAGAGTTCTTTATTATTTTTAAAATTAATTTCAGCTTAAAATTAATTTGATAATGGATGAAAGAGAATTTTCTTAAAACCTTTTATTTTTACACAGCAAGATTTATTTTTTTTTTTTTTCCGGGAGAGGTTTTTGCTATAGGGCACGTGCGCTCACCAGAGAGACAGAAAGCGAGAAATCACCCCCCGGGGGGATGGCCACACCACAATTTCTTCTCCTCCATTCTCCTCTTGGGATTTTGGGCATGCATGCACACGTGCCTGGCGTGAGTTTAAGCCACTGGGTCCGGGACTCGAACCATGGTCGACTACATGGGAGTTCAGCAACATAGCCATTATGCTAACTGCTGGTCCCGAAAGCTTTCCTTTTAAAGATTTCTGCCAGGGCCAGCAGGAGGCGTGGTGGTTAAGGCCGCTGGACTCCCACATGGCCAAACATGATTCGAGTCCTAGACCTGGCAGCTTGCTTTATCACTCTCTCTCTCTGCCATTCTCTGGTCAAATTAAAGTAAGTGAATAAATAAATAAAGGTAAATAAAATAATTTTTTTAAGATTTTTTTTTCCCATAGGGTACATGTACTCGCAGGAGGCAGAGAAAGAGAGGAAAAGTGAGAAACCAGCCCTCAGGGCGGATGGCCATGCCACAATCCCTTCTCTATTCTCACAATTTCAGGCATGTACATACAAGAGTGTTTTTCAAGCTGTCGAGTCTGGGACTTGAACCATGTAGTCAGTCATGTGGAATCCAGCACCTTAACCACCACTCCACCGGCTGGCCTGACATACCGTTCCTTACTCTTTCTGAAATATCTTGAAGCACAGTGGTAATGCAGCTGGACTCACATGGGAGACCGTTAGTTAATCAGGGCATGTGTTAACAATTTTATAACAAATGGGAAAAATAAAAACTGTCCTGTAGGCTGACATGCTGCAGGAAGAAAACAGGGATCATACGTTAGCTGAATCGCATCCTTTTTTTTTTTTTTTTAAGAGAGGTTTTCACTATAGGGCACATGCGCTCGCCAGACAAACAGAGAGAGACATAGAGACAGAAAGCGAGAAATCACCCCCCAGGGGAGATGGCCACGCCACAATCCCTTCTCCTCCATTCTCCTCTCGGGATCTTGGGCACGCACACACATGCACCTGGCGTGAGTTTTAAGCCACCAGGTCCGGGACGCGAACCGCGGTCGACGACATGGGAGTCCAGTGACATAGCCATTACGCTAACTGCTGTTTCCCTGCTGAATCGCATTTCAATACCAAGCAGAGGAAAGGGGAAAGTGAGAAAGCAAGCTGCTGATGACAGGAAAACCTAAAGAAACACCATCTCTTGCTACTAATCTTCAAATAGTCATATTAGTGGAGAAGGACAAGGGGGACGGTTCTGTCATTCCATCAGTCTCTTAATACACAAATTCAGAAAGGAATGAATTCAAAACTAAAGACGAAAATAATACACAGATAATGTATCTACTCCAATGCTTTAAAATATTTATATATAGGAAATGAATAAATCAAGATACAAAAGTGAATAGGTGGTTTGACAACAATATAAAAAAAATATATAAAAAAAGAATTAGAAGGAAACATATCAAAACATTTATAGTTGTTATCCTTGGAAGATGCAGACTATGGGAATATATGTTAATTTTTAAAAAATGCATGAAAACCCTTAATCACTGCAACCCCTTAGATGTTAACTGCGTAGCGTCAGAATGTGTCTCGCACTGAATCTGTTACCAGTGGGTGGGGTGTGAGCCAGGGAGCTAGACAGTTCTACTCTGGCTCTGTCACTAACTCACTCTAACTTTGGTCGCATCATTAATTTTCACTGAGTCCTGGATTCATAACCTGTAAAAGGAGGAGTCTGCATAAGTGACCTCCTGGTCCCTGAAAGTTCTAAAATGTTTCAGGTATTGACAGAGGAGGGTAAGTGAAGACGCAATCTGTAGGAACAGAGACACAGTTTTATGAATGCTACTCCTATTTTGATATTGAGGAGCTACTATAATTTGAAATACCAAGTAGTATAAAAACTACTAAGTTATACTGTAATATAAATATTACTAAAATATTACTAATATTACTAAAAATATAAAGCTATTAATATTCTTGATGGTAACCGGAAAAGGTGCCTCCAATCATTTAAAGTCAGTTCATTTTTCTCAGAAGCTCACATTGTCAATATTACCTACAGAATGGCCATCACAGAATTACTAGGCTTAAAATCCAAGGTTAAAAAATTTTTAAATAACACCTTTAAAAGTCTGAACTAAATATTTATTGCAGAGATTTGGGGAAAAGTGTATTCATTAGGAGAGTGAACACAGGCCTGAGTATGGGTAAGATATGGACCGGAACTTAGGTCTTGGAGTACAACTTCAATGCAATTTCTCAGTTTCTAAAATACTAGCCCAGAATTTTTTCAAGACACTGTGGTTAATGGTTAAGATTTCAGTTCTCCTAGTCACCTTACAGGAAAGGCAGAAGGCTATTTGGAAACTGTTAAGCTCACTGCACGTGAAAGCAGCACTGCCTGCCAGCTTTTCTTCCATCGAACACAGTGCCAGGGACTTCGTTCTTCAAACGTATTATTAGGAAGTCCAGATCTGGCCATCAAAAACAGACCATCACAATGGGAAACACACCTGGGTCTGCTCCCGGGCCCTCACCGGACGGCAACGAGCTGGGAGCCGGGACTCACCTTGTCCTTGCAGGGCCGCTGGCAGTTCTGCGCGGCGCAGACGGCATTCTCGTCGTCGGACTCCTCTGCTCCTGACCAGTCGTACTTGGACGGGATGTCCAGCACCTTTTTTTCTCTTTTCTTCTCAGTATTCTCTTTCACAAGTTCGACTTTAGCTGCAGCAGCTTTCTCCTTCTTTTTCTTTCTCTCTTCTTCTTTTGCTAGTTTCTTGGCCAGTTTGTTTAGCTCCTTTGATTTGTCTGCACTTAATTTTAATTTCTTCTTTTTAGGTTTATCCATTTTCTTTAACTCCTTTGACTTTTGTTTCCCTTCTCCAAAAAGCTGTTCTACCTTTTCTAGCTTCCGTTTCCGTTTCTTCTCTGAAGAGTCTTTTCCTTTCATTTTTAGTGGTTTCTCTTCCATGCTGTCATCCTTCAAAACATAACGTAGAAACAAGTTTAAAGTAAGAATATTTAAAAACAGTGTTACTGTTTTACATGAGGTACCCAGAATAGGTAAATTCATACAGACCAGAAAGATGAATAGAGTTACCAGGGGCTGGGAGAAGGGGGAAATGGAAACTTACTGTTGAATAAGTACAGAGTTCCTACTTGAGATGACTAGGTAGAAAATGGATAGTGGTGATCACTGAGTGTCAACTGTGAATGAGTTTAATGCAACTGACCTACCCATCAAAAGAGTGAAGTGATAAATTCAATGTATATTCTACCATAATAAAAAAGACAATTTTGGGAACCAGCAGATGGCATAATGGTTACATAGTGGACTCCCACGTAGTCAACAGCAGTTCAAGTCCCAGACCTGGTGGCTTAAAATTCACACTGGGCACATGTGCATGTGAATCCCAAATCTCAGGAGAAGAATGGAGAGGAAGGGGTTGTGGCATGGCCATCCTCCCAGAGATGGTATTTCTCACCTTCTGTCTCTTTGTCTCTCTCTGGCGAGTGCATGTGCCCTATAACAAAAATCTCTCTCAAAAGAAAAAAAAAAAAAAAAGACAATTTTTAAAAATATATTCAAAAGACATTTTAAGAAGGCAAACATAATATTCAATAAAGATAACTCATTAGTGGAATATAATGACAGCACTAAATAAAATACTTGACTTTTTTACAGAGATTTTTGCTATAGAGTCTACTGGTCCTAACATCTGACTTATTTTTAGCTTACTAGAGGCTAAAGTTTAAAAAAATTCAGTGTAAGGGTCAGCAGGTGGCATGGTGGTTAAAGGCACTGGACTCCCACATGGCCAACTGCAGTTCTGAGTCCTGGACCTGGTGGCTTGCTTTCTCACTTTACCGTTCTCTCTCCTTCTGTGTGTCTCCGATCAAACTGGAAAATAATAATGATAAAGCTAATTAAAATAATTCCTTTAAAAAATTCAATGTAACCGTGTATTAACACAGTCTGTAGCATCTCTGAGATGAGAACATATACAGAAGGCTAACTACTGAATGCACTAAATTACAACCTTTCTAGTTTGGGCCCTCATTTTCCACTACTGAAAGGTTTGGGGTTTTTGTTTTTGGTGCTAAAGAGTGCACACTCACCAGAGAGAGAGAGGGAGAGGAAGAGGACAAAGTACTCCCGTGGGAAGAGTCATGCTGCATTTTGGACAGTCGCACACCGCACTGGCATGTGTTTCAAGCCACCGGGTCCAGGACTCAGGGCAGCTCATGTAGGATCCAACTGCCTTCACCACCAGGCCTGCAGCTGGCCTGTACAAGTATTTCAACTAACAGATCCCCAATGGCTAAGAAGCTATCAGAACTCGGGCCAGCAGGTGATGTGGTGGTTACAGTGGCTGTACCCCACATGGCCTATGACGCAATCTGAGTCTCAGACCTGGTGGCTGGGAAAACACACATGCATATGTGCCCAGCACGCCAAGAGAAGGACAGAGAAGGTACTGTGGTGTGGCCACTGCACTGGGCATGTTTCTCTCTCTTTCTCTACCTCTGGCAAGCACTAGAACAAATTAAATAGTTGAGAAAATATAAAATATTGTGTTCATGGTCTCATTCAAAGGGTAATATGACGACTCTGACAATGGGTACGAAGTAGTTCATATAACAAAGCAAAAAAAAAAAAGCCTGTAAATTTTTTCAATTTTCTATTATTGCTGCTATTAAGTGCTGGTGTAAACACTTAACATTTTAATGGCATGGGCAGGCTCTGTGGCCTAGAGGTTAAGGCAGTTGGATCCCACACGGCCGACTACATGATTCAAATCCTGGACCTGGTGGCTTGAAAAACATGCTAGGTATGTGTGCTTGCGTACACGCATACACAAAACCCTGAGCAGGTGAGGAGACGAGAGAAGAAACTGAGGTGTCAATATGCCACTTTGGGGGCACTTCCTCCATCAACCTCTCAGTCTAGAGAGCACACACATCGTCTGGCAAAAGAAAAAACATAAAATTTAACTAAGTATGTCTAGTAACGAAAAGAATAAGAAGTGAGAAAAAGATACAAAGAAAATCATAATACAAATATGATAATCCCTTAAAATAAACATCCGATGGGGCCGGCAGGTGGCGTGGTGGTTAAGGGCGCTGGACTCCCACATGGACGACAGTGTATGTTAATAGTCCTAAACCTGGTGGCTTGCCTTCTCTCTCTCTCCCTCTCTCTCTCTGGTCAAATTAAAAATAAATAAATAAATAAAGTTAAATAATAATAAAAAATATTAAATTAAATTAAAACAATATTTACATCCAAGAATTCATTTTTCTGCAGATTTGAGACTTAAAAGATCTTTGACGAGAACCTAAGGAACAGCAGAATCCAAAAGAATACTGGGTTATAAATGTTCTAAGTCTATTATATCTTTTTTTTTTTTTTTGGAGAGATCTTCGCTATAGCGTGCATGCGCTCGCCAGACAGAGAGAGACATAGAGACAGAAAGCGAGAAATCACCCTCTGGGGGGATGGTCACACCGCAATCCCTTCTCCTCCATTCTCCTCTCGGGATCTTGGGCACACACGCACACGTGCTCGGCGTGAGTTTCAAGCCACCGGGTCCGGGACACGAACCGCGGTCGACTACGTGGGAGTCCAGCGACATAGCCATTACACTAACTGCTGGTTCCCTAAGTCTACTATATCTTGAACAAGACATTTAACCTCTTAATACTCTGAGTTTCCTTACATGCAATAAAGACGATAAGATGAAACAATGGATGTAAAGAAAGTGCTTTGGAGGCTGAAAAACACATTTAAATTGGGTTACTTCAGATCTGACTTCCGGACCAAAACCAAACTACGACGTGCTAACCGTGTCTGTACCGACATAGACCACTCCACCAGCAGGAACAGGGAGTTAAGGAACAGGACACGGTGAGTCACAGACCAGCTTTAGAAGTCAGGTCTCTATCTTTACTAGATACGTGACCTCAGTGCCCCACCTTCCGTCCCTGAACTCCTTCATGTGCACACTGGGGTAAACACATCCCAGTCTATCTGGCTCTGCTCCCTCTTTGGGACTATACTGAAGATCAAAGAAGACCATGGATATAAAACACTGTAAGAATGACAAACGACTACACAAAGATAATATATGTAGGTGGGCTCTCTCTCCCACTCAATCCATTTCCATTTAACCACCCCTAGCTTCTCTGCTTAAATCATGACATCTTATTACTTTACTTTGGGAGTTTGAGCTAAGGAGGTTGCTCTCAACTGGTGGGTGTTGATGGTACTCTCTCCTCCTCCTTTTTAGAAGAAATAACCTTTTTATTTTTTTCAGATTAAATATCTCATAAAATCTCAATTTAAAATCCATAAAGTGGGAACCAGTAGTTAGCGCAATGGCTATGTCACTGGACTCCCACATAGTCGACCATGGTTCGAGTCCCGGACCCGGTGGCTTAAATTCACGCTGGGCATATGTGCATGCGTGCCCAAGATCTCTAGAGGAGAATGAAGGAGAAGGGATTGCGGCGTGGCCATCCCCCCTGGGGGGTGATTTCCTGCTTTCTGTCTCTCTGTCTCTGTCTAGCAAGCGCACACGCCCTATAGCAAAAATCTCTCAAAAAAAAAAAAAAATCTATAAAGCGGGACCAGCAGTTGGCATAATGGCTATGTCAGCTGGACTCCCACGTAGTCAACCATGGTTTGAGTTCCAGATCCGGTGGCTTAAACTCATGCCGGTCGCGTTTACATGTGTGCCCAAGATTCCAAAAGAAGAATGGAGGAGAAGGGATTGCAGCGTGACCATTCCCCCTGGGGGGTAATTTCTCACTTTCTGTCTCTCTGTCTTTGTCTTTCTGGTGAGCACACATAAGCCACTAAAAAAAACCCCCCCAAAAAAAAAAAAAAAAAAAAAAAAAAAAAAAACCCATAAAGTAGAATTACTTTGGCTTAAGTATGAGAGCAGAACAGTCAGGTTACTACCCATTCCATCATCCCTGTGCCAACATTTGTGGTACCTCTTAAGGGCCCAGCCTTTTTAAATAGTTTTAAAACCACTGTTTTAAAAAGCTTTAATTGGGGGGAACCAGCAGTTAGAGTAATGGCTATGTGGCTGGACTCCCACGTAGTCGACCGCGGTTCACGTCCTGGACCCGGTGGCTTAAAACTCACGCCGGGCGCGTGTGCGTGCGTGCCCAAGATCCCGAGAGGAGAACGGAGGAGAAGGGATTGCGGCGTGACCATCCCCCCTTGGGGGTGATTTCTCGCTTTCTGTCTCTATGTCTCTCTCTGTCTGTCGGGCGAGCGCACGCGCCCTATAGTGAAAACCTCTCCAAAAAAAAAAAAGCTTTAATGGGGGACCAACAGATGGTGTAATGGTTACATTACTAGACTCCCATACAGTTGACAGTGGTTCGAATCCTAAACTTGGCGATTTAAAACTTACGCCTGGCGCATGTGTGTGCATGCCCAAAATCCTAAGAGGAGAATGAAGAAGGGGCATGGCCATCACCCCCTACCCCACCCCCCCGGGGTGATGCGCACTTACACTACAGCAAAAAAATCTCCCAAAAGAAAACAAAATTTTAAGGGTCCAACATGGGGAGTGGTTAAGGCTCTGGATTCCCACATGGCTGATCACGGTTCAAGTAGTCCCAGATCTGGTGGCTTGAAAAGGATGCTGGGCACATATGCATGTGTGACCAAAATCCTGACAGGAGATTAAAGGAGAAGGGACTGTGGTGTGACCATCCCCCCAAACCCCCTGGGGGGCAGTGCTTTCTTACTTTCTCTCTCTGTGTCTCTCCAGCAAGTGCACATGCCCTATAACAAAAAGTTTTCTACCAAAACAGCTTTAAATCCATACCTCCATGATATGCAGGAACCTGTCTTCAGAGGGTGGGTGTGTGGCTTGCAAAATCCGCCATATGTGCTGCGTCTCATCCAGAGATACCTCTAGGAGGTCTCCAACCATCATAAGTTCTTCCAGCTGCGCTTTGGCTCCAGGCGACAATTCCAGCACTGGAGGTTCCAAAATTCGTCAAAGTGCTCTTCGGAGGTTGTTTCCTTGGGGTACTAGAACCTTTATCAAAAAAATAAAAAGCCATAAAAATAAAACCACAGAAAAAAAGTACTGTTTTTGAAGTAACTATTTATAGTAATTTCTCCTCCAATATTGATTTTAAATATGTGCATTCATTACATCAGTGTAAGAGTAAAATAGAAATAACCAACAAAAAACAAAAAGATATAGAATAACAAGGCCCACTAGAAGAAGCTGGTTTAGAGTTACAAACTGGGTTTATCCTTATTGATCCTTTATCCTGGTTGGGGTGGGGACAGAGGTGGCTGCAATCTCTAAACCCTTGTTATCTCCGTGTTAGAGCATGTCAAAAGATTAAGCATTTAGCTGCTCTGTATAAATAAATGCGTAAATAATGATCTTCCTATTGAACAGATAACAGGCGGTCCCCTAAGCTCCTGAACGTTATCATAGAGAGAAACACCCTCCGTCTTCCACAGCGGTGACCTATAGCCGTGGGTTTTCACTGGGCAAAGAAAAGCGTCGCAGAGAGCTCATCTGTTGGGGAGGGAGATGCACAGCTGAAGCTCCCCAAAACCAGAATGGGCGTTCTTCAAAAGCATCTAGTTCCTCAACAACTGGCAACGATCAGATACAGGGAAAGGAGAAGCAGGACTAGACGGCCCGCCAGTTCTCTTCACTAGATCTCTTTAAGGGTATGCGCGTTTTCATGTTATCATCTAACGAGAGAAAATACAAGAACTGGTTTCTCCTAATCCAAAGAGCATTTTCAGGTTCTATTAGCACATCATGGCTGGGAATTATAGTCAATTCAAAAGAGAGTCATAGTCGTGATTGGTACAATGTTTTGTCCTCGCTGGTTTGGGGAAAACCTCTATTTTTTAAAAGAGCAGTACTACCTTGAGAACAACTCTTAGAAGCAGAAGAATAAGCGTGTTCCGCACAGAATGAAGGTGCTGTCCACATGTGAGTTACCACCTCCTCAGACTTGATGGGAATCTCTTCATCACAAAACAGATTGGGTTCCAGGCTACTAGAGGACTTCACACTAGCTGTGTCCTGAAGAAACAAAGGGAGGTATTCAGAATGAAAGTCACATCATTTACCATCAGACAAGGCCCTAAAAGGGAGGCTTTCAGATCAAAGCTGTTAATAGAGCATACTAAAAATAGGACATTAAGAGTAAATATAGTGGCCAGCAGGTGGCGTGGTGGTTAAGGCGCTGATCCCCACATGGCTGACCAAGGTTTGACTTATGGACCTGGCAGCTTGCTTTCTCACTGTCTCTGTCTCTGGTCAAATTGATGAATAATAATAATAAAGTCAGATAAGTGATTCTTTAAAAAAAAAAAAAAAAGTAAATATATGACAGATATTAAATGAGACAGAAAATGTCCACTGGGGAGAAAAACAATAATGATTTTTCAAGCCAAAAGAAAGTGTAAAGCTCAAAAACAATCCACGGATAATAACATACCAGAAAAAGTGACTACTAAGACATCTATTTCCCATGGTCTACATACACCAAGACAATAACTGCAGAAAAGAGTTAACATCCCTGGGGCTTGAGGTGACAAAGGAGGGACCAGCAGTTAGCGTAATGGCTATGTCGCTGGACTCCCACGTAGTCGACCGCGGTTCACGTCCCAGACCGGTGGCTTAAAACTCACGCTGGGCACATGTGCGTGCGTGCCCAAGATCCCGAGAGGAAAATGGAGGAGAAGGGATTGCGGCGTGGCCATCCCCCCTGGGGGGTGATTTCTTGCTCTCTGTCTCTCTCTATCTGTCTGGGGAGTGCACGCTCCCTATAGCAAAAAACCTCTCAAAAAAAAAAAGGGGGAAAGAAGTGGAGTTACTAGAATCCGGAAGCTTGGAGAAAAGACCCTGCAGAGCAGGGACCCAGACCTCTGAGGAGGAAGGGCTAGCCTATACATTTTGCTGCCTCTGGTGGAACATGATGTGGTTGGTTTCAGGGTGTTAGGGGAGAAAACTACAACAAAATAACAAGAAATTGGAGCCAGTTGCCTCTGCCAAGGCAAAACAAAAACACTAAGCAAAACAGAGGCTGCTGATGATGAAGGAACGATGTACGAACAGGGGAAACCAAGTCCCTGTCTAATGTCTCGTGCTGGCAGAAGGACGTGTCTGGCAGTGAACAGTGTAAAGCACGGCTGGCCAATTGTGACCTAAGGGCCACACCCAGCGGGCAGCCTGCCGGTGTGTGAACTGCAAGCTAAGGATACTTCTCACTGGCCCTTTACAGAAAAAGGTTCGATCATCTTTGGGGTGGATTCCCAGTCCCAGAATCACAAAACTGAGTAAAAGAGTGGGTTAGGGGACAACCACAGCTTAATGGCAATCTTTAATTAAACTTTCTAAGAAGCTAGAAGTTTTCAAGCAATGGTTAACCAGGGAAAAAAAGGTTTTCTTGGGGAAAGAGGGTTTATAAAAGGATTGTGGAAGACAGTGTCACTCACTGAGAATTTAGGAATGACAGTTCATAGTCTTCCTCCCTATTTAAGAATTTAAATCTTGGGGACCAGCAGTTAGAGTAATGGCTATGTCGCTGGACTCCCATGTAGCCGACCGCGGTTCACGTCCCAGACTCGGTGCCTTAAAACTCACACCAAGATCCCAAGAGGAGAATGGAGGAGAAGGGATTGCAGCCTGGCCTGGGGGGGTGACTTCTCACTTTCTGTCTCTCTGGCAAGCGCACGCACCCTATAGCAAAACCTCAAAAAAAAAAAAAAAAGAAAAAGAAAAAAAAAAAAAAATTTAAATCTTAAAAGGGAAAACACAGAAGAGTGTCGACCCCCTTCTTTAGTTTTCAGAGGCTTCCTCTCACTGATCCTTTTTTAAGGGAGACTTTTGCTATGTGCGCTTACCGGTGAGACAGAAAGACAAAAAGCCAGAAATCATCTCCTTGGGTGGGGGGTGGTCACGCTGCAGTCCCTTCTTGTCCATTATCCTCTCAAGATTTGGGGCACACATGCACACATGCCCAGCCTGAGTTTTGAGCTGCTGAGTCCGGCTGTCAAACCACAGTTGACTACGTGGGAGTCCAACAATGTAACCATTATGCCACCTTCTGGTCCCACAAAGTGATCTTTTTTGAGCCTAACTCCACTCACCACCGCCATTCTCTAGGACAAGCAGTTAGAAGTCCCTAGGAAATACTACTACTACTACTATTCTACATCCCTCTCTCTCTCTCTAAAACTGTAAAAATCTGTTTTCAAGCAAAGCCCATCATGTTCAGCACTTCCAGAGTAGTGTCTGTACTTGACGTGCTAGTAAGCAGACCACTTACGTATTGGAGGCCTCTGGCTCTGGCAAGCAGGAGATTCTGACACTCAGGTAAAGGTCTAACTCCCACTGGGCACAGGCTGCATCTCCTCTCAGCTGCTCCTAGTCATCCTCTACCAACTTTACAAGGACGATCATTACCCTGTGGTATCAATGTGCTTAATAAGCTATCTGAGCAGTCAACTTCGAGTTTCAATTTTTTCTAAGACTTTTTCATTCCAATACCTAAAAATTCCCTCCTTAAGTCATCTTCTGCATCCATTATCTTTTTTTTAAGAATTACTTTTATATGGGACCAGCAGTTGGCATAATGGCTATGTCGCTGGATTCCCATGTAGTTGACCACGGTTCGAATCCCGGACCCGGTGGCTTAAACTCACGCCAGACACGTGTGCGTGCGTGCCCAAGATCCCAAGAGGAGAATGGAGGAGAAGGGATTGCAGCGTGGCCATCCCCCCCTGGGGGGTGATTTCTCACTTTGTCTCTCTGGCGAGTGCACGCACCCTACAGCAAAAATGTCTCCAAAAAAAAAAAAGGAAAGAAAAATAAAAAGAATTACTTTTATTTAACTTTATTATTATTTAATTTTAGAGAGAGAGAGAGAGGCAAAGTGAGAAAGCAAGCCACCAGGTGCAGGACTCAAACCTCAGTCGGCATGTGGAAGTCCAGCTTCTTAACCACTATGCCACCTGCCAGCCCCCCCATTTTTATCTTAAGAAAAATATTTTCAAGATGACTTTACAATCATTTATAACAGGTGGTGATAATTTTATATCCTAGGAGTTTTCTGATGAGATTCAGCTTTAAGAACAAAGTTCTAAGATAAGGAAAATAAATACAAATTTTTACGAAATCCTATCTCAAAAAAAAAAAATTGTACAAATAATCTGTATTGTGGGGAGATTTAAAAAGTGCTATCACCTTGGGACCATCAGTTGGTGTGATGGTTACGTCACTGAACTCCCACATAGTTGACCCTGGTTCGAGTCCTGGACCCAGTGGCTTAAACTTCACACTGGGCACATGTGCATGTGTGCCCAAGGTCCTGAGAGGAGGAAAGAGAAGGAATTACGGCACGGCCATCCCCCCAGGGGGTGATTTCTTGCTTTCTGTCTCTCTAGTGAGCAAATGCACCCTTATAGTAAAAATCTCTCTTTAAAAAAAAAAAAATGTGTTATCACCATACACTGAGGCCCAACAGATCACACACATTTTTTTTTCCATTTTCAGATCTCAAACACCAGTTTTTTTTTTTTTTTTTTTTTTTGAGAGGTTTTTGCTACAGGGTGCATGTGCTCACCAGAAAGACAGAGAGAGACAGAGAGATAAAAAGCAAGAAATCACCCCCCAGGGGGGATGGTCACGCCGTGATCCCTTATCCATTCTCCTCTCGGGATCTTGGGCACGCATGCACACGTACCCAGCATGAGTTGAAGCCACTGGGTCAGGGACTTGAACCGCGGTCAACTACGTGGGAGTCCAGCAACATAGCCATTATGCTAACTGCTGGTTCCTCAAACATCAGCTTTCAACAGCTTTTTAAACAAATCCAATGATCAGGTAACATGCCCACAAATGTAATTACCTTCATGTCATAGCCGTACGTTTCCCGAATGTCTTCATCAGAATCTGTTTCTTCATCATCATAGTCCATCGTTTGTCGTGGGGAAGATGACACACTGCTCACCACCCGACTAAAAGCGGACTGCTGGAAACTGGGTAAGTGCCCCTAAATGAGAAGTGATTGCAAGATGAACGGTGAGGCACTAAACAAATAGGAGGCGTTAATATGTACTTAAGGTCACCAAAACATGAGAACTCACAGAGGAGCTAAACAACTCTCCAATAGCTAATAGAAATGAAATTAGGCAGCACTCCTTATCTGTAGGTTCTGTACCCACAGACTCAAGCAACTGCAGATCGAAAGTATTCAGAAAAATAAAAATTGGTTGTGCCTGTACTGAACGTACGTACACAGACATTTTTCTTGTCATTATTCCTTAAACACAATGTAACGACTTTACAAATGTACATTATATTAGATATTATAAATAATCTAGAGATGATTTAAAGTATTCAGGAAGATATGCGTAGGTCACATGCAAATATTACACCATTTTATAAGGGACTTGGGCATCTACAGATTTTGGTATCCACTGAGGATCCTGAAACCAAATGCGGATACTGAGATGCTGCCTTTGATTATGACGCCAAGATTCACCTGAATAGTATTTCCAAGTAATATTTCACTAAAATGACCTAGGTATATATCCAAAGAAAATGATACAATGTATGCAGCAAGATGCCATGGATGATTAATCGCCAGCAAGTTACTGTTATTTTCCTAAGAAATCAATGGCACAGGTTTGATCTACTGTTCACGAACTGGCAAGTGCTACTCCATGCAATAGAAAGAACGTAAGTGTAAACTTGCCTGTAAGTCTGGATTGGCAGCTGCTTTTTGGAGCTCTGCACTGATAATCTTTTCAGTTTTTTCTCGAGCTGCCTGTTCCACCATACGCTGACTCAACACAGACAGCTTGGCCAGAGCAGAGGACAGTTCCTCTGTGGCTAGGGCCTGCCGTGCTCGATCCTGCCAACTCATGGCACGTTCTGTCAAACACTGCAGGGCCTCTCCTTCGGGCAACCGTACAGGCAACTTCTGAAGGGATACCAGGAGTGACAGAATAGTCTCTAGCCTGGGCCTTCGAGACCGCATACAGAGAGGGCAAAGGAATTTTACTTCCTTAGCCTGCCAGCTGGACCCTTTTTTCTGGGAACTTGATTTAGGAAGGGGAACACAGCTGTTATGGAACCAGTCTTTGCAGAGCTCACACTGTAGCATAAATCCACTTGCTGTCTTGCGACAAATGCAAAATTTTACTTCTTCAATGCGGTCCACCACTGTCATCTTGGCTAAGTTGGCTGCTCTGAGGGAATGCATAGCTTCAATCTCTTTTTGCTCCCGTTCTTTGAAAACTGCCACCTGTATACAATAAACATGTCACTGAAAGTCATCACTGAAATACATCCCCAAATCACCAAATCTCAAGGCTGAGTGATCATTTTCCAACTTGTGGCCTCATGAGATGACAAAGCACTGTCCTTTTTAAAAAATACAGTTGTGCGACCAGCAGCTGACGTAATGGCTATGTTGCTGAACTCCCACGTAGTCGATCGTGGTTCGAGTCCCAGCTCCGGTGGCTTAAACTCACGCCAGGCACATGTGTGTGCGTGCCCAAGATCCCGAGAGGAGAATAGAAGAGAAGGGATTGTGGCGTGGCCATCCCCCCTAGGGGGTGATTTCTTGCTTTCTGTCTCTGGCAAGCGCATGCACCCTATAGCAAAAACCTCTCAAAAAAAAAAAAAAAAAACCCACAGTTGTAGGCTCACTCCTGTGGCCCAGTGGTTAAGGGAGCCAGATCCCACACAACCAACTATGTGGTTTGAATCCCTGCCCTGGCGTCTTGAAGAACACCACGGGCATATGTGCATGTATGCCCACATCCCAACAAGGTGGAGGAGGGTAGATGGCTGCAGCACTGCAGGGTGGCCACGCCCGACTGGGGAGCGCTCTCTCCCTCTCCCGGCTCTCTGGCAAGTGCATGTGCCCTCTAACAAGGTAAATGCCTGGGCACCCGCACTCCTCACCTGTGAAATAGACAAGGTGCTACTCTGACAATTTTTACCAGCAGAATACTCTGAAGTATTCCATAGGGTGCAGCAAAAGATGGTATGCTTTTGAATCAAGCCACTGGTGTACAAAGGCTAATTCTTGTGCTTATAGACTGTTGAGCTGGAGTACAAGTCTTTGAAAACTGAGGAGAACATCAATTTCATTCTGTTTTTTTAAGGATTATATAACACATGAAAATGCCTAACTGCCTAACCTAACCTGGTGCCTGGCACAAGGTAAACAATAATTATTACTTTCCCATCTCCTTGTAATTCATTCTCTATGTGCAACTTCTATAAAAATCAATTTTCATTTCTCCCTAAAAGGTTTCTTCAATCCCTCTGGAAGTAGAGTAACAAAGCTTGATGGTCAGTTATAACATTTTGTGAAACTCATTTCAGTAAGGTATGTTAAAACAAATCTAATTATCATGTATATTGTCTTTGCATTTTCCTATTTTTACTCTTGCTACAGGGCACGTGCACTTTTCAGAGAGACAGACAGAGAGAAAGCGATAGATCACCCCCCACCCCACCGCCACGAGGGAAGGCCACATCACAAACCCCTCTCCTCCATTCCTGCCTTGGGATTTGGGGCATGCACACACGTGCCCAGTATGTTTTTCAGGTCACCGGATCCAGACTCAGACCAGACTTAAATTGTGCTAAGGGCCATGTGGGACAAAGCCACCTTGACCACCATGCCAGCAGATGGCCCTGTGTATTTTCTTTTTAAATTACTGGCAGCTTTGAAAAAATCTGAAATAATTTCCAGTCCTACTTATCTGGCAAGACTGACTTATCAGGACTTTCTAATGAGAGATAATTGTCACTGGTCTCAAAACAAGATCATTTGCGGGCAGAAAGTGCCACGTTAAGTTACTTAGTGTATACCATCCCAAGAATTATGAATCACCCACGTATTTTTTTATTTCTTTTTACTTCTTCAGGCTCTTCATAACATACTTTTTTTTTTTAGAGAGAGTTTTTTAAAATAGGGTGCATGGACTGGCTCAAGAGACAGAGAGACAAAAAACAAGAAATCACTCCCCAAGGGGGATGGCCATGCCACAGTCCCTTCTCCCCCATTCTCCTCTCAGGATTTTAGGCCTGCATGCACATGTGCACAGCATGAGTTTCAAGCCACTAGGTCCAGGACCTGAACCACAGCTGACTATGTTGGAGTCCAGTGCTTTAACCACTACACTACCTGCTGGCCCCTCCGCCTAATATATTTCTCTTAATCTCCAAAAAGGTATAATTCTCTTCAGTTACAATATTTTATTTTGAGATTTTTGCTAGAGGGTGCATGTGCTCGCTAGAGGCAGAGAGACAGAAAGCAAGAAATCATCCCCCGAGGCGGGGTGGGGGATGTGCTGCAATCCCTTTTCCTCCATTCTCCTCTCTAGATTTCGGGCATGCATGCACAGCACCCGGTGTTGTTTTAAGCAGCCGGGTCGGGGACCCAAACTGCAGCTGACTATGTGGGAGCCCAGTACCTTAACCCCATATCACTTCCAGCCCTTCCTCATGATATATTAACATATACCTCTTATATAATTATCAGCTACAAAAGTTACAAGTATTTTTTGAGTACTCGTTATAATGCTGAATGCGCCTAAGAAAAGGAAATGTTTTTAAAAGCAGCTGGTATAATTCCTTTAAAAAGCACAAAGTATGGGCCCACAGGTGATGTGAGGATGAGGTGGCTGGATCCTCCATGACTGACTGACTGATTCAAGTCCCAGGCCTGGTGGTCTAAAAACACACTAGGCACGTATATTTATGTGTGCATGTGTGCCCCATATCCCAAGAGGAAAACGAAGAAGGGACTGTGGTGTGATCATCCCCCCAGGGAGTGATTTCTCCCTTTCTCTCTGTCTCTCTCTTCCCAGTGAAAGCACACAACTTACTGCAAAAAGAAAAAGGAAAAGGAAATTACTCCACTAATTATAAACAACGACTTGATGGAATATTATACAACTATTGGAACAACAGAGAACAGAAATACAGAAAAGACCAAAACTTCTGAGAGCAGAAGAGTAAACTGTGTGCTTTGATTATGAATATGCTAAAAATATGTCAAATATATATAATCCTAAAGCCAAATATGTAGTATACCAAAATAAAAAGTTAGAAGCCTAGAAACAGTGGATCTGCTAGTATCCTGACAGGATTTTGTAGCCACAAGCAAATTAAAGATGAACTACAAGATGTCTTACCACCATGGCTGTGTCTCTGGCCTCCTCTAACCCCTCCTCCAGATCACTCAAAGGCTCAAGGTCCAGATCCTTTTCTTTTTCCTTTTCTATTAGTTCTTTTACCTTTTTCCTTCTGTTTTTACCACTCCCATATATTCCAATGTCAGTCCTGGGACTTAGCACCTACAGAAATGAAATCAAAATAGTTATTTTTTTTTTAAGCCTTAACAGCAAAAATAATAAAAGGAACCATTTATTGACCAATTACTGCGTCTTCTCCTATTTTATGGCATGTGTGTTATTTTAGAGGGTCTCGCTCTATTGGGATGCCCTGGCCTTCCGCACAGCTGGACTACAGGTGTACGCCAGCGCACTCGGCCTCCAGAGTGGGCTGGGAACTGCACTGAAGCCTCCCACGTGGCCCGCTCGAGCAGCTACGCCCTGTGCCACTACTGAGGCGGGCTTCAGGCTCTTTCCTAAGGGCTCTGTCCATATTATCTGATCTGACGCTCACGACAACCCTATGCAGTAGTGTTACTATCTACGTTGTACCAGTCAGGGAAACCGAGGGTCAGAAAGGAAGCAACTTGCCCAAGAGCACAGGTTAGCAATTACGGAGCCACTCTTCAAAAACGAAACTACCTGACTTCGAAGCCTATGCTCTTAACTTTTACATTTGACTATTCAAGACAAAAGGATGATGCATATCTAAATCTGTGCTTCTGAGAAATAAGACCATTCAGCAACAGGGTCTGTTAACAAGAGATAAAATCCAGGCTGACTGCTTTTTCTAGATACAGCACAGGATTAAACTGGACATGAATCTGGCTAAGGCTCCAGATTTCAGGTCAACATCTGATATTGCCTAAAAGGAATCCCTTTTATAACGGTGACTGGATAAACTGAAAACCACCTCCACCAATACTACTGCTATCTACAGGTGTTAGGTCACCAACAGCTCATGAAGCACTGGGGCATGTGAAGGTGAACTACTCCTCACCTGCAGCAGCGTGTGGCTAGAATTCTTCTTGAGAAAGGTGCGCCCAGTGCGTTCTCTCCAAGCCCGGGCTGCTGCTACCTGGGATTCCACCTGGGGCAGGGCATCCAGACGCACAGGGATAGGGCGTCCTTTTGCAGATAAGCTCTCAAGTTGCTCCAAGTAAGCATAGTTGCTGCCACTCTGAAAAACAAAAGTAGATTCTCTCACAATTGGAGTTTTCTAATGGAGTCTGGAAATACGTTTTTCAAAGACCTCAAAGGGAGTTTACTGTGTTGTTGGAAAAGTCATGACACATTTTTGCATGGAAAAATATGTCATGACTTTCCCAATAACCTAATGGTATTAACTTTTTAATTAAACATTATTTTCTAAATCTAACTGCATCTCTTGAATTAATGTAACTTCCAATGTCCTAATTTTACAAGTTTATGGAAACAGCAGATGGCATAATGACTATGTTGGACGACCATGTACTCAACTGCTGTTCAAGTCCCAGACCTGGTAGCTTAAAATCCATGCCAGGAGCATGAGCATGCATGCCCAAAATCCCAAGGGAAGAATGGAGACAGGACTGCGGTATGGCCATGCCCTCAGGGGATAACTTCCAGCTTTCTGTCTGTCTCTCCAGCGAGCGCATGCACCCTCTAGCAAAAATCTTTAAAAAGAAAGTTTATGTAGGGCCATCCCCATGACCTGGTGGTTAAGAAAGCTGAATCTTGGGGCCAGCGAGTGGTGTGGTGGTTAAGATGCTGAAATTCCCACATGGCTGACCACAGTTCAAGTCCTGGACCTGGCGGCTTTCTTTCTCGATGTAATCTCTTCGCCTATTTCTGTTTTTATAAATTTTGCCAGAATGTGCACGTGCTCAGAAAGAGAGAAAGACCCTGGGGCTTTTGGGTGGGCAAGTGCACGCCCACCTGCCCTCAGCATGCTTTTTAAACTGCTGGATCCAGGACTCAAACTGCTGGCCATGTGGGGTCCAGCCACCTTAACTATAATGCCATGGGCTGGCCCTGGCCTGTCTTTGCCCACTTCAAAGTCTTTCACAACTTTATCAACAATTAAAAGCAGTATTTTAGTTCTGGTAATCACCTCCATTTTATGTGCTATAAACATAGGTAAGAATGAGTATTTTCCTTCTAAGTTGATAATATTTTAATATTCTTATATAATTAATTCATTGTTTTTAGAACTGCTCTACTGCATCCCAGTAAAAGACTATTTCCCATAAATTAACTGACACTTATGCCTGTAAACAGGCAAAAAAACTTAACAAATTTTTTTAAGAGAATAATAAAAAGGTTCTAGTCCTAGGAGATATTACAAATTACTGAGTTGCTGTGGTAGCATGATAAGAATACGTAGCTACATGAAATAGGGAAGAAAAATCAGGCATAGACAGGGACAAGAAATACCACATTGGGGGACCAGCAGTTGGTGTAACGGCTATGTCACTGGACTCCCATGTAGTCGATCACAGTTCGAGTTCTGAACCCAGTGGCTTCAATTAACACCAGCCGTGAGTGCGTGCCTGTCCAAGATTCCGAGGGAGAATGGAGGAGAAGGGATTACAGTGTGGCCATCCCCGCTCGGGGCGTGATTTCTCACTTTCTGTCTCTGTCTTTCTGGTGAGCGCATGCGCTCTATAGCAAAAACCTCTCGAAAAGAAAGAAAAAGAAATACCATGTTTGGGACCAGCAGATGACATACTGGTTTCGTCGCTGGACTCCCACATAGCCAACTACAGTTCAAGTCCCAGACCCAGTGGCTTGAAACTCACACTGAGTATGTGTGCGTGTGTGCCCAAAATCCCGAAAGGAGAATGGAGGAGAAGGGCTTCTGGCATGGCCATTCCCCCAAGAGGGTGACTTCTTGCTTCCTCTCTGCACGCACATCCTATAGCAATAATCTCTTAAAAAAGAAATACTGGGGACCAGCAATTAGCGTAATGGCTATGTTGATGGACTCCCATGTAGTCGACCACAGTTCAAGTCTGGGACCCGGTGGCTTAAACTCACACAGGGCGTGTATGCACGTGCACCCAAGATCTTAAGAGGAGAGGAGAATGCAGTGTGGCCATCCCCCCTAGGGGGTGATTTCTCACTTTCTGTCTCTCTGTGTCTTTCTGGGTGAGCACATGCACCTTATGGAAAAAAATCCTCTCAACAACAAAAAAGGAAATACTGCATTTACTACTACTCCCTCCTGTGCCTAACTACAGCCATGTGATGCAAGAATACCTTTAGACTAAGCTCAAACACAGCTAGCTTCCAGGCCACTTACCCTAGAGAAAAGCCTGCCAATTAACAGACTCTGTCTGCTTACATAGAGCATACAAGCCAGTACTCCCATTGTGCAGAAGGGCCTAACAGAGACAGGCCTCCAAAGTTACAGGAGACACATGATGGGCTACTGACACTTGTCAATCCAGTCCTTCATTCGTAAATAGCCAATCAAAGACTGGCCGACATTTGAGAACAACTAACTGCCTGAACAAGGTAAAAGATGCAACAAAAGTAGCTGTCCTGATGAAGAGAGAGAATTAAAAAAGAAAAGTGACGGCTTAATAGCTGCCAACAGAGATCAAAGGCAAGGCAAGTAAAGCAGTGACTTAGACCCTGACACCTAGATGACGTCTTTTCTTGGGAAGGTGTTCTAGGGGAAGAGAGCTGGGGCTTTTTCTCTACCCTTTAGGTCTACTTCTAGAGTTAGGAGTGTTTATATACTCAGTACTGGAAATGTTCCTTTAATAATTCAAGCACACTTAAATCCGGCCCTCATCTCACTGTTCTGAATTACAAATGTGTAATTTTTCTCTTCACCACTAGAAAGGATGCCACTCTGGAGGTCGGGGCCTATATTTACACGCTTCCTTTGTATTCCTACTCCAAATACTAGAATAGTATCAAGAGTACTGACATGTTTAGTAAAGGCTAATTTTTTTTAAATGACCAACGTGTTTATTTGACTAAGTTCTATTTCATGCATAAGCATGATAGTCGCCCCTGTTCATTAAACTTGGCAATAAAAAAACAAGCAGCCTTAAACAGAACAGTGACAGCCAAGGACGAAGGCGGTCTACAGTTTCACTGTGGCATAAATGTATACATATTTTTAAAAGGCCTCTCTCCTTTGGCCATATCAACTCTCAGTTCAGATCATTAAATACAGACAGATTTCCAAAATCACTTCTTCATTTCTCTGAGATCTTCGATGTTGCCATCATCCACCTCTGAACACTTCTCCTGAATGACGTAGATGACGTCATCTGTGAAGTCTCCCTGAATGATGACCTCATCCTCCCCTGTTACTGAGGCATCATGGGAGAATTTCTGAGCAAAAAATCTTTGTGCTTCTTTAAGATCAATTTCGAAAGTTGCAAGGCCACACTCTGGTTACGTGTTTCTTCTTTGCTCTGGGAATTTTGGCTATAGTAACCTTCTGCGGTACGGTCTTCTTTTTTTTGTTTTATTTGACCCCTTCCGCCTCTCTTTTGTTTCTTCTTCTCCTCTTCTTCCCCTGCTGTTCCCTGACAGCTAACTCCAGCTTCTTGTTTGGGTGAATTTTCTAGAGTAAGTTTTGCAACCTCATTTGGAAAATTCTTCTCTAACCATTGTCTACATTTAGCAACATCGGGCATATATTCACAGTGCTCCACAGTAGAGGACGTGGAGTGGGTAATCCGCATCTAACTTGGCACAGTTCTTCGGGTCTCCTTTACACTCACCCCACTGGATTCGGAAATGTCCGCAGCCATTTCACAAACCCAGACAGTTGCACAGCCCCGCCAACTCCACTCCCATCTCACCCACCGCTACTGCCGGCTGAAGCAACTCATGCAACCCCTTCCCCGGTCAGGGCCGCCCAGTAAAGGCTAATTTTAACTTCTGCCTCTTATTTCATTTGTAATTCACAGAGGCCCAGCCACGGTGGTCCAAGTGTCAGGGTGCAGCTGTGGAAGGTTTGAGCCCGGGAAGGCCTGGACTTGGTTCCTAGGCCAACTTGAATAGGCTGGACACACGAGGACACGGCTGTAGCCCCAGTTAACCAGCAGCTGGCGTGAGAGGGTAGTGAATCAGTGAGACCCTGTCAAAAATACCTATCCCTGGGAATCAGCAGAAGGCTCCTACATGACTGACAGTGTAGTTCAAGATCCAGACCCGGTGGCTTGAAAAAATATGCCAGGTATGTGTGCATCTGTGTCCAAAATCCCAAGAGGAAAATGAGGGTGAAGGGACTGTGGCATGGCCAACCCCCTAAGGAATGATTCCTCACTTTCCCTCTGAACCTCTCTTCAGCATGTGCACAAGCCCTATAACAAAACTAAAAATAAATAAATAAATAAATAATCAATCCCCTTTTCTCCTCTCTTCCTTAAAAAAGTAATTAATATACATGCAAGAAGATTCAAAGAATACAGCAGACAATAAACTCCCTACTAATAGAAATTAAGTCAACAGCTAACACCATCATCTTTCGTAGCAAGGACTCAAATGCAAATAGTGTTTAACTAAGTTATATTTATTATTAATTATAAAGTGGAAAATTTTTAAATGGAAAAAATGAGTGAATTTTAGGGACCATGACTATTTTATACTACAGTGTTAAAGGTTTACAGTACCCATCTGTGAGCAGCATTACCTAACAGGTGGGACTTCCCAGAGTCCTTACCTGAATAGCATCCACTTTAGCTGTCCACTCACGAGCCTTCTGTAAGGCTTCTTTCAGGGACAACACATTGGGTAAAAAGGCTGGAATGTTCTTGGCTTCATTCACAATGCTTTCCAAACTTGCCACACTGTGCCGTGGTCTAAAAGAACAAGAAAAACTAGGTGAGATGCATGAAGAGTATTTAAATAACATTTTAGAATGTGTTCAGAACTTTCACATACATGATTTCTCTGAATTCCTACCACAATCCTGTAAGTGAAACAAAACTGCTATTACCTTTATTTTCATTTTATATCTGAAATTGCCAGAGATGCTATTTGATAGCACATAGAAAGCAACTGACTGAGAACCCATTCATGTTGACCATGTACATTTACTTCAACTGTGTTCAGTAATATCTAGTTACAGGGTCCAGCAGGTGGCATGATGGTTAAGGTGCTGGACTCGCACATGGCCGACTATGGTTCAAGTCCCAGACCTGGCAGCTTGCTTTCTCACTTTCCCCTTCTCTCGCTTTCTTTCTGTATCTTTGGTCAAATAAAAAATTAATAACAAATAAAACTAAATAAATGATTTTTTAAAATATCTAGTTACACAAAGGTACATAAGACAAAGGCCTTATCCTCAACTTATAAGAAAACAATATAAGGGGACTAGCAGTTAGCATAATGGCTATGTCGCTGGACTCCCATGTAGTCAACCATAGTTCAAGTCCCAGACCTGGTGACTTAAACTCATGCCGGGCACGTGTGTGTGCGTGCCCAAGATCCCGAGAGGAGAATGGAGGAGAAGGGATTGCGGCGTGGCCATCCCCCTGGGAGGGTGATTTCTCGCTTTCTGTCTCTCTCTGTCAGGCGAGCCCACGTGCCCTCTACCAAAAACCTCTCAGGGAAAAAAAAAAAAAGGATACAATATAAGAGTTGTGCTTGAGGGCCAGACAGTGGCACAGTGGTCAGGACAGCCAAATCCTTCATGGAGTCTTGGACCTGGTGGCTTGGAAAACACACCGGACGTGTGCATGTTTCCAAAATCCGAAGAGTAAAATGGAGAAGGGACGCAGGATGGCCAAACTCCCTAGGTGGTGCGTCCTCACTCCCCCATTCTTTCTCCCTGTCTCTGGCACACACCTGCCCCACAGCAAATTTAAGGAAAAAAAAAAAAAAAAACAACAGAGAGAGTGTTTTGATTTTATCCCGATTGGGAATGGGAAACCACAGATGTTTTTTCAGCAAGGGAGAGGAGGAGTGCTATCTGTGTTTCCGGAAAATGGCAGCAGTGTGGAGAATGGGCTGCAAAGGGGTGAGACACACAGCCCACTGCTGTGAGCCAGGCTAGCTCTATCAGCAGCCTGAGGGGAAGGAGAGGCAGAGGATGCGTAATCCAAGGGAACAGCAACACAGGTGGGAGAGTCACAGTAGCTGAAATGACAGTCAGCATACCAAGACAGAGTAACTGTCAGCCTAGAGTTCTATGCTTAATTTTTAAAAAGTCCTTCAAAAATGAGGGTAAGGAGCCCGCAGGTGGCATGGTAGTTAAAAACTCCCACATGGCTGACTGCAGTTCAAGTCCTTACCTGCCGACTTGCATCCTCACTTTCCCTCTTTCTCTGGGCAAATTAAAAAAATAATAGTAATAAAGAAAGTGAAATAAAATAATTATTTTTAAAAAACAAAGAGTAAAATAATCCCACTTACAGACCAAAATAAATGAACAAATGTGAGTCTGGCAAAAAAAGAAATAACACCCTGACAAGCAGCAGATATTCCGTAAGTCCTTACCCAGCTGCAAGGATCCAGAGAAAACACATGAAGACTGTAACCAGAGCAGTGACAGCGCAGCTGAGAGACAGACAGGAAAGACAGCTTGCGAGCAATAGCACCAGGATGTGGAGACTGACTCCTGGACCCAGCGACTTAGAACTCATGCTAGGCACATGTGAGTGCATGCCCACCCCACCAGGCATGATTTCTCTGTCTGTTTCTCCAGCGAGCACACATGCCCTATAGCAAAAAAATCTTTTTCTCAAAAAAAAAAAAAAAAAAAAAAAAGAGTTGTATCAGGTATACCAAATCAAAGTTTTAAATTCCCAAGCTATTTAGCTTTTGCCCACTTAATATACTCCACCTCCCTGAACTATCATGAACCTGAAGACACAGTCATTTGAATAAGTCGGATAGTAAAAGCTATGAATAAGTTTTAGTATGGATTCTGCAAGGCATCTGGAGAACAAAATATCCAGTGTATTTGGAGGCTCCTCATGACTGAGGCAGGACTGTGCTCATTAAACCACCTAAAGCTTTTCCCATCAACTGCATCCAAAATAAGTGTGCAGCCAAACAATTAAGTACACGGGACTTCAGAAGGGAGCGGAGGGGGCTTCACATTCCAGCTGTGATCTCTCCAAGCACCCTAAGGAAATTGTGTTTACTGGTCTATCTCAGTTTTGAGACAAATGCTTTCACTTAAGAACACCACAGTTAATTACCACCAAATTAGTTGACACACAGTCAAATATGATTAACACTGTACATAAATCTCACTGAGTCCAATGGGTTGCCAAGGCTAATGCAACCAGTTAACATTCCCTCACTCACTTTCTATCCCTTAAACACACCCTTCACAGTCCCTAAACTTGGTTTATAGCAGTTTTCTTACCTCCCTCCCTTCCACTTCAGTCCTATTCATTCTTGAAGGCTCTAAGTTCTTACTTTTCTCTTAAGATTCTCTACTGACCACCCAAGTCCACCATGATCTCTATCTAAATTGCTGTAATACTTCTCCACACTTCAGTTTAGTTAGTAACATACTCCATTAAGCTTTATCTTACTTCCTAACTACAGTATTGTTCATTTTAAGCTCTAACAAAAGACTACTTTGTATCACTTAGTGTCTCACACAGCACACTACACGATAGTTTGCAGACATACAAAATTGTCTACATGCAGCCCGATTTGGTAACCTGGTGACTGTCAGGAAAGGCATGAAACGGACCCTGAAGTTCCTCTCCCTTCCGATTTAATTATGAAAGAAGTAACAGTCACCAAAATCTGTGTTCACCTTGCCTGTAGGCAGACTTTGGCCTTTTCTTCCCAGCGCTCAGACACTGTCAGCAGCTCCTGTAGCTCAGCCATGGCTTTCTCCACAGCGTGATGGGGCGCCAGCCCCACACCGGAGTCTATCAGCTTCTTCATGACATCCAGGGTGACTTGCTGTGGATCTGACAGGGTCAGTCGTACTTCATCCAACCATCGAGCCTGCTGTAGCTCCTGCTTCAGCCGGGGTAGCTCAGGCAGCTCCACGTAGAGACTGGAGCCCATGTCGATTAGCATCTGCAGTTTGGAAGAATCTGGGGTTTCATCCATCATGGCCTCCTGAGCACGTTCATGAAACTCTTCCACATCATCCAGGAGATTCTAAAAAAGGCCCCAAAGTTAAAAACAAACTGAAAAGATATAAAAGGAGCATGGAAGAGACATAGTTCAAGCAAACTATCAGCTCTAGACTCCTTATAACCTGGCCATCATAGCACCAAGTATTTGGATATGCTGTGTAATTATGTCTATGTATAGTTCTATTTTGGATTTTTTTAAGATTTATTCCATTTTATTTATTAATTCATTCATTTTTTAAAATGTGACCAGAGAGACACAGAGAGAGAGCGAGAAAGCAAGCCACCAGGTCCAGGACTTGAACTGCGGTCGGCTAAGTGGGAGTGTATGGCGCCCTAACCACAATAATACCTGCTGGTTCCCTAGAGTTCTACTTTTAAAATATGACTGAGTCATTCAACAAATATTTAATGACTGCTGACTTAGAAGCAAACATTTTTCTAGGCACATAGAACTGACTGAAACAAAGTCTGTCTTCAAAGAATGTATTATACACTCTGGGACCAGCAGATGGAGTAATGGTTGCATTGCGGTAGTTCCAGTGTGGACCTGGCGGCTTGAAATTCACACTGGGCGGGCAGGCGGGCATACGTGTGCAAAATCCCGAGAGAAGAATGGAGGAGAAGAGGATGTGGTGCGGCATTCCCCCGGCGGGGGGTGGGGGGTGATTTCTTGCTGTCTCTCTCTCTCTGTATTTCTGGGGAACATACACCCCCTATAGAAAAAATCTCCCTTAAGAAAAAAAAAAAAAATAGGAAAACAGTGAATATGAGTAAAATGTTAACATTCAGTGCTCTGAAAAAAAAGATAATAAGACAACATGACAAAGACCAGCAGCATGAAAGGGCCTATTACTTAGCAGTAGTGATCAAGACAGACAGATGAACTCAAACTGAAATAAGGAGGTGGCCTGAAAACTATCAATATAAAAAGATTTAGAGGAAGAACAGTTCGGATAGGGCAAATAAAAATAGAAAAAGTTCGTAAAGAAGAATGAATTTAGAGTGTTGCTACATGACGATCAGGGAGAAATATATAGTTAAAGGAAGAGCAGAGGGGACAGCAGATGGTGTGGTGGTTAAGGTTCAGGAAGCTCACAAGGCTGACCACAGTTCAACTCCTGTACTGGGCAGTCTGCTTTCTCACTTTCCCTCTCTGTCTCTCTCTGGTGAGTGTGCATGACCTATACCAAATTAAATAACAAATAAAATTAAATAATTATTTAAAGAAAAAAAGGGAAAGCAGAGATCAAGCTGGGAAGTGTCTTATAGATTATAATGAGTTTAGATTTCACACCAGTGGCTTCACAGAAACACTCAAGGGTTTTAACCACAGGAGGGTTTTAATCACAGGAGGGATATAATTGACTTATATTTTAGAAGATTACTCCTGCTATGAAATAAAAAACAAACTGTTAGTAACAAAAGTAGAAGAGAAGATAATTAATTAAGAGGCTGTTGTGAGAACCAGCAGTTAGCATAACGGCTACGTCGCTAGACTCCCATGTAGTCGACTGTGGTTCGCGTCCCGGACCCGGTGGCTTAAAACTCACGCCGGGCGTGTGTGCATGCATGCCCAAGATCCCGAGAGGAGAATGGAGGAGAAGGGATTGTGGCATGGCCATCTCCCCTGGGGGGGGATTTCTTGCTTTCTGTCTGTCTGTCTCTGTCTGGCTGGCGAGCACATGCGCCCTATGGCAAAAAAAAACTCTCAAAAAAAAAAAAAAAAGAAAGAAAGAAAGAAAGCGAGAAATCACCCAGTGGGAGGATGGCCACATCGCAATTCCTTCTCCATTCTCGGGGGGTGGGGGTGGGCTTTCTCGCTTTCTATCTCTCTGTTTCTCTCTTTCTGGTGAGCACACGCACCCTCAAAACAAAAAAAAAAAAAAAAGATAAAGCAAGCTGCCAGATCTGGGACTCAAATCGTGGTTGGCCGTGTGGGAGTACTGCCAGCCCTAATAAGACAATTCTTAAAAAATAAAATAAAGTTGGGACCAGCAGATGGCATAATAATTTTGCTGCAGTCCCACACGGTCCTACATAGTGGTTCGAGTCCCAGACCCAGTGACTTAAACTCGTGCCAGGAACATGTGCATACCCAAGATCCTGAGAGGAGAATACAGGAGAAGAGACTGTGGCATGGTTATCCTCCCTGGGAGGTGATTTCTCACTTTCTGTCTCTCTGTATCTGCCAAGCGTACACTCACGATAGCAAAAACCTCTCTAAAATAAAAATCAAATCACCTGACAAAGAGATCAGGAGAGGGCGCACCTGGAGGACAGGGCTGAGATTCCCAGTCTACTCTGCAACTGAGAAGTCAAGCAAAGAAAAAAGAAACAACGAAGACTTCAGAGAAGGAACTGGGACCAGCAGTTAGCATAATGGCTATGTCACTGGACTCCCATGTGGTCGACCATGGTTCGAAACCCGGGCCCGGTGGCTTAAACTCACACCAGGCGTGTGTGCGTGCGTGCCCAAGATCCAAGAGGAGAATGAAGGAAAAGGGATTGCGGCGTGGCCATCTCCCCTGGGGGTGACTTCTCGCTTTCTGTTTCTCTGTCTTTGTCTGTCCTTCTGGAGAGCACACGCGCTCTATAGCAAAAACCTCTCCAAAAAAAAAAAAAAGAGAAGGAAGACCAACAGGTGGCATGGTGGTTAAAGCAGCTAGACTCCCACACGGCTTCAGGTGGTTTGAATCCAAAACCTAGCAGCTTGCTTTTGTGCTTTCTCTCTCTCTCTCTCTCTCTCGTCATCAACTTTAAAAACGGTAATAATAAAATAATGACAATGGGGGCTGGCAGGTGGCATTGTGGTTAAGTGTGCTGGACTCCCACATGGTCGGTAGCAGCTCGAGTCCTGAACTTGGCGGCTTGCTTTCTCACTTGCCTTCTCTCTCTCTCTGTCCCTCTCTGGTCAAATTTAATTAATTAATTAATTAAATTTGATAAAATAATTCTTTAAAAAAATATATATATAATGACAATGAATAAAATTTAAAAAAACAGAGAGAGAGAGAGAGAAGAAACTGCCAATGGGCTAGGAAGAACACCACACTGCGTTATGTCACAGATGATTACAGAGAATAAAGTAATTCAGGAAAGAAAGAGATGTCAACTACAAAAATGTTCTTATGGGCCAAGCAGGTGGTGTGGTGGTTAAAGTGCTGGACACTCCCACATGGCTGACCACGGTCCAAGTCCTGGATCTGGCGGCTTTCTTTCTCTCTCTCTCTCTCTCTCTCTCTCTCTCTCTCTCTCTGTGTGTGTCTCTTTCTAGTCAAATTAAATAAGTGAATGAATCAATAAAGTGAAATAAATAAAAAATAAATAAATAAATAAAAATAAAGTGAGACGACCATGCATTATGCTCTGAAGTTCCCCTTACCCATTTTCATTTGTCCAGATAAAAGTGTGAAGTAGTTTGAATGATTGGGTCAATGTGGATTTTAGCCCAGGGTGGCAGCTACTGTATAATACAAGGAGAGAGGGGAGAAGGAGTTGAAATGTTTGCAAAGGAACAATTATATAACAGGTCCTGGAATTCTTAGGTAAGGAAACAACAACAAACAAGAGGCTAGTGCTGGGCAGTGAAAAGGTGAAAGGAAAAGAGATGGTAGATCCCTATGGAGTCAAAGATTGTTGGAGTTGAGGGACCAGCAGGTGGCGTGGTGGTTGAGACACTGAACACTCCCGCATGGCTGACCACAGTTCGAGTCCCAGACCTGATGGCTTGTTTTCTCACTTTCTCTCTCTCTTTCTGTGTCTGTCTCTGGTGAAATGAAAATGAACGAATAAATGAAAAATTAAAAATAATTCTTTATAAAAAAAGATTGTTGGAATTGAACACTAGAATGTATAGTCAGAAAGCGATGAGTGTAATCAGAAAGTGGTTAAAGTGACCGGTAATAACACTTAAGATCCAACAATGAGAATGAGTGTCTGAGGGAATTTGAAGAAAAAGATCATGAAGAGAAGAGAATAAGGAATTAATAAAACTGGATATTGGAAAGATGAGTATGTGGATGTTGACTTTCTGGGATTATGAGTTAGGATAACCATGTGCTTCAATCCTTAAGGAGTGGGAAGGGGAATGGAGAGTTGAAAGTGACCTCCCCCCCAAAAAAAATACTCATGCTGGGCACATGTGCGTGTGTGCCCAAGATCCCAAGAGGAGAATGGAGAAAGGATTGCAACATGGCCATCCCCTCTGGGGGGTGATTACTTGCTTTCTGTCTGTCTCTGTCTGGCGAGTGCACATGCCCTATGGCAAAAAACCTCTCCAAAAAAAATAATAATTAAAAAATAAAGTTAAAAATGTCCTTATGAAATGGAAGAAAACAAGAACATAATTGATATTAGATTTCACAAGTTGATATCCTTGATTAAAAACTAGATACCCTAGGGACCAGCAGTTAGTGTAATGGCTATGTCGCTGGACTCCCACGTAGTCGACCACGGTTCATGTCCCAGACCCGGTGGCTTAAACTTACGCCGGGGGTGCGTGTGCATGCGTGCCCAAGATCCCAAGAGGAGAATGGAGGACAAGGGATTGCGGCGTGGCCATCCCCTTTGGGGGGTGATTTCTCACTTTCTGTCTCTCTCTCTCTCTGTCTGTCTGGAGAGCGCACACACCCTATAGCAAAAACCTCTCCAAAAAAAGAAAGAAAAAGAAAAAAACTAGATACCCTACTCACCTCCCAAAACAAAAGCACACTCGAAACTATCACTAACTAGAGAGATCAATATGCTTGGTATACATTTTTTTTAAAATAATTATTTTCTTATTTTATTTATCATTGTTATTTTTAATTTTACCATATCAAGACATACACAGAAAGAGAGAGAAGAAAAAGTGAGCAAGCAAACTGCCAGGTCCTGGACTCAAACCGTGGTCAGTCACGTGGGAGTTCACCACCTTTAACTACTATGCCACCTGCCAGTCCCTTGAAATACACTTCTGAGACTTTATCCATTACTCCTTCTAGGCCTTATTAATTTCAGAGCTCTGCACTTTTTATTTCTTTTTTTTGGGAGAGGTTTTTGCTATAGGGCACGTGCGCTCACCAGACAGACAGAGACAGACAGAGATAGAGAAAGCGAGAAATCACCCCCCGGGGGGGTGGTCACGCCACAATCCCTTCTCCTCCATTCTCCTCTCAGGATCTTGGGCACACATGCACACATGCCCGGCGTGAGTTTTAAGCCACCAGGTCTGGGACGCGAACCGCGGTCGACCATGTGGGAGTCCAGCGACATAGCCATTACGCTAACTGCTGGCTCCCCAGAGCTCTGGGCTTTTAAAAGCTCTTATACTGGGGGCCAACAGATAGTGTGCTGATTAAGACACTAGGGAGGGACCAGCAGTTAGCGTATTGGCTATATCGCTGGACTCCCATGTAGTTGACCACAGTTCAAGTCCCGGACCCAGTGGCTTGAAACTCACACCGGGCACATCTGCGTGCATGCCCAAGATCCTGAGACGAGAATGGAGGAGAATGGAGAGGGGATTTCAGCGTGGCCATCCCCCCTGGGGGGTGATTTCTCACTTTCTGTCTCTCTGTCTGTCTGGTGAGCACATGCGCCCTATAGCAAAAACCTCTCGCAAAAAAAAAAAAAAAAAAAAAGACACTCAACTCCCATGTGGCCAACTGCAGTTCAAGTCCCAGACCTGGCTGCTTACTTTCTCACTTTCCCTTTCTCTCCTTCTCATTATTATAGCAAATTAAAATAACAAAAATAATAATGTACAAAATTAAATATTTTTTTCATTTTAAGAAGCTCATGTTCTAATAATTCACTGATTTTCTTTTTTCAGAGAAAGGTTTTCACTATAAGGCATGTGCGCTCGCCAGACAGAGAGAGACAGAAAGCGAGAAATCACCCCCCAGGGGAGATGGTCACACTACAATCCCTTCTCCATTCTCCTCTCGGGATTTTGGGCATGCATGTACACGCACTCTATTTTAAACTGCTGTGTCCATGACTCGAACTGCAGTCAACTACATGGGAGTACAGCAATGTAACCATTACACCACCCAATTCACTGGATTTTAGATTATTTCTTATATTTCAATTACATCAATCCATACATAATACAGAAAAACTATAATTACTAAACTGGCTTTAGTTAAAGGAAAAATGGAATAAAATATATAAGAAAAAAAAAAAAAAAAAAAGATTGCCTACTTAAAAACTCTTAAATAGGGGCTGGCCAGGCACGATGGTTAACAGTGCTAGACTCCCACATGACCGACTGCGGTCTGAGTCCCGGCCGTGGTGGCTTAACTATGGGGCTGTTAGTTGCCACGGTGGTTAAGGCAGTGGACTCCCACTTGGCTAACTGCAGTTTGACTCCAGGGCCTGGTGGCATGCTTTCTCACTTTCCTTCTCTCCGTCTCTCTCTGGTCAAATTAAAATAGTAATAATTATAAAATTAAATAAATGATTCTTTGAGTAGCAGCATATAAATGAGAAATGGAACAAACAACTAGTCTATGCGTGCCATTCTATTAACCAAAGCAGAAACAGCGCGTACCACACAGGACATTACCCAAGAAAGAATGTAATACTCCACCTTGACTTGTCGGGCTTGGCTGATGACACAGGGGAGGCTGAAGAGCTGGTGGACAAAGGCCTTCAATTCCTCCACAGTCAGCTTGGTCCGTGTCCTCCCACTATCTGGGCTCTGCCTGATGTGAAACAACATTGGGACATGAGTAAGAAAAATCGAATCAATCTCATAGCAAAAGGGTTCCTCCTAGTCTCCCCAGAACTCACACCTAAATGATCCAGAACTCTGGTGTTGAGGGCTCCCACTGCGATGGTGACCATTTCTAAATAAGTCTCTACATTCTTACATTAACGACTCAAAGAGTCCTCTCTCTCAGCTACAGATTCTCTAGCCCACAGTATCAGGTACTTCAGACTTTAAACTCTTCTTAGGAAGTGCTAAGTTCATGGGTTAAATACTGTACTTCAAGGAGCTTAAAATGTGGAACAAAGGGGGCCGACAGGTGGCATGGTGGTTAAGGGTGCTGGGCTCCCACATAGCTGACCACGGTTCAAGTCCCGAGTTAGCGGCTTACTTTCTTTCTCTCTCTCTCTGGTCAAATAAATTAATTAAATAAATAAAGCTAAATTTAAAAAAAATGTGAAACAAAGGTCTTTAACCTAAATTAGGAGACAATGAATCCTCTAAAAGCATTTAAATGTTTGTAGGTATGCATTTTTCTCAGGTTTCCAAACTTAAAATTCTCCAAAGGGGTTAGTAACCCAATGACAAATTAAGATCCATAGATTAATATCATTTTTTAAAAGAATTATTTTATTTAACTTTTTTTTTTTAATTTGACCAGAGAAAGACAGAGAAAGAGAAAGAAAGCAAGCTGCCAGGTCCAGGACTTGAACCACAGTCAGCCATGTGGGAGTCCAACACCCCTAACCATCAAACCATCTGCCAGCCCCCTCACAGATTATTATCTTTAAGAAACATTCTCTGGGGCTAACCCCAGGGCCTGGAGACTAAGGGAAGCTGGGACCCACATAACAAACTATAGTTCAAGTCCTGGCCATAGCCACTTGGGAAATAAGCCAGGTACATGTGTATGCATGCCCAAAATTCTGACAGGATGGAGAAATGGAGGAAAAGGGATTGAAGCATGACCATGCCCCATTGAGGGGGTATTTTCTCGACCTCAATCTCTCTTTCTATGGTGACCTACACACCTTCCTGCAATTAAAAAGAAACAGGGGCTAGCAGGTGGCATGGTGGTTAAGGGCATTAGACTTCCACATGGCTGACTGCAGTCTGAGTCCTGGACCTGGCAGCTTGCTTTCTCACTTTCCCTCTCTATCTCACACGCTGTCCCTCTCTGGTCAAATTAAAAATTAATTAATTAATTTTAAATAAAAATTAAAAAAAAATAAAAAAGGAAGAAAGAAAGGTTCGGAGTCTATGGTCCATAATAGTGGTGTAAACACTAACACTCTGAACTGCAGTGCTGGAAGCCACATGCCTGACTGTGGGTTTGCATCCCGAGGTTACCTGAAAATGTGCCAGGTGTATATAGTGTGTAAGTCCAGGACCCTAACACGCCAGGGGCTAGGGGAAGGGAATCACCATGTGCTGAGATCCCATGGGTATGTCTGTCTCTCCTGCATGCACACTCTCATTCTTGAATCAAAGAAATGTTGGGGCGGGGGTTGTCTGATATATGGCAGATTAAATATTTACAAAGTAGTTTAAGATTCATTGTGAACTATTTATGAAAAAGAAAGCCAGAGGCCAGCAGGTGACATGAAGGTTAAAGTGGTTGGATTCCACATGGCCAACAGCACAGTTCAAATCCCAGACTTGGTGGGGTGAAAATCACACCAGGCACCTGTGTGTGCATGCCTGAAGTCCTGAGAGGACAACGGAGGAGAAGGGATTGTGTCATAGCCATCCTCCCTGGAGAGTGATTTCTTATTTTCCCTCTCTCTTTCTGATTTTCTCTGATGAACACATAAGCCCTATAAGCAAACTAAAAAAAAAGGGAAAGAAAGAAAAAAAAAACAAAAACATCCAGATACATGGAAAGTGTTGGAATGACTACAAAATAATACCACAGGAAACGCAATACATAGGAATTACGTGAAGTCAGGGGTGCACGTGGCTATGCTCCACAACAGCCTCTTCTGCAGCCATCAGGGTCACTCTTTGCTACCACCTGCCTCCAGCCTGCAGTAACATTCCGCTCACTGATTTACAAGTATTTATAGCATACCTACTATGGACCAAGCATTGTTCTGTGTACCAGAAAGAGCACCAAAAAAAAAAAAAAAAAAAAAAAAAAAACCAGAAAAAGCACCAAAAAAAAAAAAAAAAAAAAGACAAAAATCCCTAATATTCAAATCTAGTGTACACTCTAGTAGAGATGGGCAGAAGGGGAGGTGATAGACAATCAATTAAATAAACAAGTTAGTACATCAGAAGGTAGTAAGTCTAAGAGAAAAACAAAGCAGGAAAAAATGGTAAGAGGGCTGAAGTCTTACAAAGCATTCTCAGAAAAAGCCTCTCCCAGAAAGTGACATTTGAACAACTTGAAGGAAGTGAGGGAATAAGCCACCTGGATGTGGTGTCCAGAGAGCTCTGAGCAAAGTGAGGCGCAAATGTGAAAGTCCTGAGAACGAACACATCAGGGACGTCTGGATGGCAGAGGGAGGAGCCTTGCAGGGAAGAGCAAATGAAGAACAGCAAGAAATAAAACAGGGGAAGGCAGAGATGTGGCCCAAATAGAACCTCGCAGGCCAGCTCAAAGTCTGAAAGGCTGAAACTCTGAGAAAACAAGAACCACCTGGATGACTAAGCTCTGCGTGGGTTTACCTGTGTTTCTGCTTTTTGCTGAGAAGCAGCTGAGCCACAGAAGCACAGGTCTCGGCTTCTTTGACAGCATCCCGGAGTTTTCGAAAGAGGTCATTCTCGGGGTACTTCCTATCCTCGGCATCTTCCAGCATTACTCGCAACTCGATCAGATCTGTAACATACGTAAAAAGTCACAGACACAGAAAGTCACTGTCAAGTCTTCAGCAGCCTCACTCCAGGAGGTCACCAACCTACTGCTGGAAATGCTGCGGCTCTGACAATTCATCACTACAACAGAGCTGCTCCTCATCCGAACAGAAGACTCCTCTGATACAGCACTTTCCCTTTCCAAAAGGCCGATGGTGTTAGTCCACCAGTAACGACTCCCAAAAACACATGATACACCTACTGCAAGTTAGACATCTGGCCCATTTTACATTACAGATTTTGTTTAAAAGATTCTCAGGGCCGGCAGGTGGCGTGGTGGTTAAGGGCACTGGACTCACACAGGGCCGACCGTGGTTCAAGTCCCAAACCTTGAGGCTTGCTTTCTCACTTTCCTTCTCTCTCTCTGTATCTATCTGGAAACATTAAAAACAATAATAATAAATTAAATTAAATTAAAATAATTCTTTAAAAAATTCTCAAATAGAAAATTAAATCTATTATTTGGCAAATCACTAATCTCAAATCTTATATAAGGCCTAGAGTTTTTCTTGAAGGGGGAAAAAACAAAAAACTGGGCGTGGTGATTAAGGCGGCTGGATCCCACACAGCCAACTGTTGTTAACAAGTCCTAGGCCTGGAGGCTTGAAATACACACTGGGTGCAGGGGCACCAGTTTTCTTCTTCTCAAGAAGAAAACAGAGGAAAAGGGATTTAGGGATGGCCATATCCCCTGGGGGGTCCTTTCTAACTTTCCCTCTTTCTGTCCTTCCAACAACTACATGTCCAAAGCAAAAAACTAAACAAGATCTCTTTCTGAGTGACAATTTCAGCATACACACACAAAAGTAGAAAAGCAGGAGACTTAACCTTTCTTGTGGCTGAAGTTAGCAGATAACGCTTCTGTAACGCGGCTGACCCAAGTGTCATAGGACTGGGCTCTGACTTTTACACCGTACAGCAGAGAGGGAAGGTCTTCTAATGGGTAGCGATATCTATTAAAACAAACAAACAAACAAAAACACACAGAAATAAAAAGCTTAAAAATCAAGAACAACTTGAAAATAATACAGTTTTAAGTACGATCGCTTAAGAAAAGTCCACGGCCAGGGGAATGAGGTCTCGGTTCATACCGAGAGAAAACCTTCAAAAGCCCAGTGTTAGTGCAGACAGAGACAGGAAATATGTGAGATCAACAGATAAAGAAACTACAGTTTTGGCTGCCAGGTTTACGGCCAACTGTAAAGGGCTACTTTCTTTCAGGAAGTGGAGAGACAAGAAGTTGCCCGTCCGAAAACAGGGAGGGTAACAAAAGCACAGCACGACAACTCAGTTTCAAGAAAACGTAACAGAGACTTTACAAGGTATTTCTGGGTACCTAAGACATTTCTTCTGCATGGGGCAGGGGCACAGGTCAGTTGGATGGTAGAGACACACGAGCCGCTCAGGATTACAGGAACACGTGAGCGCAGAGAGGAAACATGTGGTTCTGCACGCCGAACACTGTCGCTCATCATCAGGAACAAGCTCAAATACTTCTTCTTCTGACATCACGACACCCTAAAATACACTTCAGGTCACTAGGCCAAGCCTTTCTAGTATTTAAAGCATCAAATAATTTAAGTTATTACAATTTTTTCTATAGGCAAAATCTCTTAAGGTATAAACATGGGGAGTACAGCATCATTAATACCAAACCCTTTTTTTTTTTAAGAGAGAGATTTTTGTTATGCAGCGTGTACGCACGTTGCAGAGACAGAGAAACAGAAAGCAAGAAATACCCCCCCTGGGGGGAAGGCCATGCTGAAGTCCCTTTTCCTCCATTCTCCTCTTGGGATTCTGGTCATGCACACACAGGAGCCTGGTGTGAGTTTTAAGCCATCATCAGGTCCAGGACTTGAACCACAGCTGACTATGTGGGAGCTCAGTGATGTAACCATTTCACCATCTGCTGATCCCAACAATACCAAATACTTTCTAAAAATAATGGTTATTAGGTGAGCCAGTGGTGAAGACAGCTGGACCCTACATCGGACTTGGCAGCTTAAAAAACACACCAGGTGTGTGTGTGCATGTGATTAGGAGGTACTTTGGGGGAGGGTATTGACGTTCTATTTCTTAACATGAATAGTGATAAAAACAAGGTTTATCATGTAACTAATGAGGCTGCTGGGTCACTGGAAAAGTCATGATGGATTTTTGCACAGAACAACATAGAAAAATACGTCGTGACTGTTCTGACAACCTAATGTATGTATTTTTTGTGAGGCTCTTTGTCTTTTCTTTAAAACAATAAAAAGATTAATCAAAAAAATAATAAGTACTGCTTGGAGCCAAGAGGTGGCATAGTGCTTGAAGTGCTGGACTCCAACATGGCCGACGGCACTGAGTCCAGCACACACGCCCCAGGGCAAAAACCTCTCCAAAAAAAAGTCCCAGGCACAGCAGACAGTAAAACACTGTATGTGCACGTGCACCCAAGATCCCAAGAGGAGGATCTGCAGCAAGACCTTACCCGCTGGGAGTGTGACTTGGGACTTGTTCCCCTGCCACGCCCTGGAAGTGCACATGGCCTAAAGCAAAAAAAAAATTTTTTTTTTAGAGGTTTTTGCTATAGGGCACATGCGCTCACCAGAAAGAGAGAAAAAGACAGAGAGAAAGCAAGAAATCACCCCCTGGGGGGATGGCCACGCCACAGTCCATTCTCCTCCATTCTCCTCTTGGGATCTTGGGCACGCACACACATGCGACCGGCATGAGTTTAAGCCATCGGGTCCGGGACTCGAACTACAGACGACTACATGGGAGTCCAGTGACTTAGCCAACTGCTGGTCCCTAATTTCTAAGAAAAGTGCATAATGCAAAGAAAGGGCAGACATAAGGCCTGGGAATAAGGCACAGGTGGGAAGTTGGTTTAAAGGACAAGGATCTACAGAGAAATGTGATCAAAGTACCACAAATAACAGGGACGAGGATCGAGAGATATAATAATCAAATTACTATAGAACAAATAGCTTAGGTTAAATCTGAAATGTCAATGTATACAAGAAAAAATTATTTCATGAGTGTCCATCAATATACTCAGACTAGAAAATTCCAAATAAAAACTGCAGGCACTGAGAAAGGGAATTCTACACTAAATAAACATTTAACCAAAACAAGACTTTTAAGAATACAGATACAGGGGACGACCAGTTGGCATAATGGCTAGGTTGCTGGACTCCCATGTAGTTGAGCGCGGTTCTAGTCCTGGACCCAGTGGCTTAAACTCACGCCAAGCGCGTGTGCGTGCGTGCCCAAGATCCCAAGATGAGAATAGAGGAGAAGGGACTGCAGCATGGTCATTCCCCCTGGGGGGTGATTTCTCACTTTCTGTCTCTCTGGTGAGTGCATGCGCCCTATACCAAAACCTCTCCAAAAAAAAAATAAATAAAGGAATACAGATAAAGGGGCCACCTGCTGGCATGGTAGCTAAGGGAACTGGACTCCCACATGACGAATCACAGTTCAAGTCCCAGACCTGGAGGCTGACTTTCTCACTCGCCCCCACCCCGCCCCCCCCTCCCCCGTTCCTCTCTGGTCAAATTAAAATAAATAAATATGTAAATAAAACAAATAAAGTTCAATAAAATAATTCTTTAAAAAAATAATTTATATCTAGAGAATATAGAGAACTCTTAAAATTCAATAAAACCTAATTTTTAGAGTGGGCAAAAGATTTGAACAGACACTAACAAATACGTAGAAGCAACAGATGCACAACGAATGTTCGATATGATTATCACAAGACAAGTGCAAATTAAAATGACAGTGAGGGGCCAGCAGGTGGCGAGGCAGGTAAGATGCTGGACTCCCACAGGGCCAGCCGCAGTTCCACTCTTGGACATGGCTGCTTGTTCCTCACTTTCTCTCCCTTTGATCCGATGGCTTGTTTTTCACTCTCTCTTGTCAGCATGTGTGCCCTAGAATAAATGTTTTTAAAAAAGGAGGGGACCAGCAGGGGTGTGGTGGTGAAGGCGCTGGACACGCCCATACGGATGACCATAGTTTGAGTCCCAGATCTGGTGGGCTTAGTTTCCTACTTTCCCTCTTTTCTCTCTCTCTGGTCAAAATAAAATAAATAAATGCATAAATAAAATTGAAAAGATAATTCTTTAAAAATAAAAACGGGAATAAATAAAACTAAGTAAACAATTAATTTAAAAAAAACTACAATGGGGGGTCAGCAGATGGTGTAGCAGTTGCATTGATGGACTCCCACTCACATGGCTGACTGTGGTTTGAATCCTGGACCCGGTGGCTTACTTTCTCACTTTTCTTCTCTCCCTATGTCTGTCTGGTCAAGTTAAAAAACAATAATTAAAAGTTAAATAAACAACTGTTTGAAAAAAAATCACTATGAAATTACCACCTAGAAACCCTATTTAAAACATCTAAGTCAAGGGCCAATAGATGGCATGGTAGTTAAGACGCTGGACTTCCCACATGGCTAACCACAGTTCAAGTCTCGGACCTGGCAGCTTGCTTTATTTTTTTACCCCTCTCTCTGTGTCTCTGTCTCTCTCTGATGAGCACACATGCCCTATAGCAAAATTTTTTAAAATAATAAAGCTAAATTGGGACCAGCAGTTAGCGTAATGGCTATGTTGCTGAACTTCCATGTAGTTGACCATGGTTTGAGTCCCAGACATGGTGGCTTAAACTCACGCTGGGCGTGTGTGCGTGTGTGCCCAAGATTCTGAGAGGAGAATGGAGGGGAAGGGATTGTAGTGTGGCCATCCCCCCTGGGGGGTGATTTCTCACTTTCTATCTCTCTGTCTCTCTCTGTCTTTCTGGCGAGCACAACCAAAGTATAGCAAAAGCCTCTAAAAAAAATAATAATGAAAATACTAATAATAAAGCTAAATCACTCTTTAAAAAAAAAAGTGGAAGTTGAAAAAACTATGCCAGGTGTTGCCGGGGATATAAGGCAACTATAATTCTTACATACTGCTGGTAGAAATGCAAAATGGTACAACCATGTTGGAATGTAACTTGGCAGTTTTCTTTACAAAAGTAAGAAGCAGAAGCCGGGAGGTGGTGTGACGGTAAAATGCAAGCTTTGCAAGGCTGACCCAGGTAGGAGCTACTGGGTTCAAGACTGAAGACGTCCCTGAGTGTGCTGGGGACAGGCACACCCATGACTCAGGGATGTGAGGCTGGGAGTGGATAAAGCCAACAAGGTCCTGTTGGGGAGCACTGTCTCCCCCGCTTCCTCACACTCTGACTGACTCTAATGGAATAGACTTAAGAAAAAATCAACAACTAGGGGACCAGCGGGTGGCTTGCGGTTAAGGTGCTGGACACTCCCACATGTCCAACCAAAGTTCGAGTCCCAGACCTGGTGGCTTGCTTTGTCACTTTCCCTCTCTCCCTTTCTGTATCTCTCTCTGGTCAAATTTAAATAAATGAACAAATAAATAAAATTAAATAATATTTTTAATTATTAAAAAAAAAAAACGAAGTAAACATACACTAAATACCACATAACCCAACCATTTCACATCTAGTATGGGCCCAAGACTAATAAAGAATATGTCCATATAAAAACTTGGACATGGAACAACCAGTGGCATGGTAGTTAAGGCAACCTGTCTTGACATGGCTGACCTCATTGGTCCTTCGGCATGGAAAATATGCTGGGTGTATGAGCATGCACCCAAAATCCCAAAAGGAGAGTCAGAGAAGTGATAGCAGTGTGACCATTCCTTACGGGGGAGAGTGCTTTCTCACTATCCCTCTCTCTCCAGCAAGTACATGTAGGCTCTGACAGAAATGAAAAAGAAATAAAACTCTGTCCATACCAGCGTAATTCAAACAGCCAAAAACTGGAAACAATCTAGATGTCCAAGCAAACAAACAAACTGTGGCATATACATTCAATGGAAAACTACTCAGCAATAAAAAAGTGATAAACTATGAATATATGTAACGACGTGAATGAATTTCAAAGTAATTACGTTGACTGAATTACATAATACGTGGGGACCAGCAGCTGGCATACTGGTTATATCACTGAACTCCAATAAGGTTGACTACGGTTTAAGTCCCAGACCCAGCCATTTGAAAATCACACCAGGCACATTTGCGTGCATGCTCAAAATCCTGAGAGGAGAATGGAGAAGGGACTGTGTGGCCATGCTCCTCGAGGGGTGATTTCTCACTTTCTGTCTGCCTCTCCAGTGAGTCCTATAGCAAAAATCTCACTTAAAATGAGGCCTAAAGAAAAAAACTAACTTAAAAAAAAAAAAAAAAAAGTACATATAATTAAATGATGCCATTTAGATAAAACTCTAAAAGAAAAACTTATTAAAGAAAGAAGATTAGTGATTTTCAAGGGGACAGGGTAAAGAGGTGGTATGAGGTATGAAGGAAAGGTCACTGAGGGGCAAGAAGAAACCTTTAGGATTAATAAAATATTCACTATCTACATGATGGCAATGGTTTGGTGGTATATAAAGATGAAATTATCAAACATTTTTCTTTTTTGGAGAGATTTTTGCTATAGGGCACGTGTGCTCGCCAGAAAGAAAGAGAGAGACAGAGAGACAGAAAGCGAGAAATCACCCTCCAGGGGGGATGGCCACGCCGCAATCCCTTCTCCTCCATTCTCCTCTCGGGATCTTGGGCACGCACGCACATGCGCCCGGCGTGAGTTTAAGCCACCGAGTCCGGGACTCGAACCACGGTCAACTACGTGGGAGTCCAGTGACATAGCCATTACGCTAACTGCTGGTCCCTCAAACAACATTTTAAACATGTAGTTTATTCTATGTCAATTTTACCTACACAGAGCTGTTAAAAAATGAGGACAGGGACCAGCAGTTACCATAATGACTATGTTGTTGGGTTCACATCCCGAACCCGTTGTCTTAAAATTCACGCCAGGCGCACATGCGTGCGTGCATGCCCAAGATCCCGAGAGGAGAATGGAAGAAAAGGGACTACGGCATGGCCATCCTTCCTGGGGGATGATTTCTCGATTTCTGTCTGTCTCTGTCTGTCTGGCGAGCACACATGTCCTATAGCAAAAACCTCTCCAAAAAAAAAAGGGGGGGGGACAATATCAGGCAGGGGAGGAGTAAAAGTACAGAAGTATAAGGGAACACAGTGCGAATCTGGTGAGACTGCAGCTATGGAGGAAGGTCAGAGAGGAGGG